TTTAGCAGCTTTAAAACATATTGTTATGTACAATGAGCTAGTAGAGTTGCACAACCGAATTAATAAAATCAGGGGTCCAGGGCACAATGATCTATACTCGGATACCTCTAATTTCAAGGAGGGAAACTCCTCAATCTATTAATTGAAATGTTGCTCTCTTTTCACGTTTTCTTCAGTCCTGAGTGGTGATATAGAGTGGTCGCTTATAGTAACAATGTAGTTATGTCTCTGATCGTCCTAAATTCGGCTCCTGCTTAATGAAATTTCATCACGAACTGGCTTTGAATCAGACACAATTTGTTTTGAGTGTGGTCTTATCTTTACCTTCTGGCCTGGCTGGTTTCCTTCATTTGATAATTCTGTTTTTCAATAGAAATTCCACGGAAAATTGATTTTTGTCGGGTGTCTCGAATTTTATCACTCTGCTTTAAAAATTATATAATTATTGATGATATGATTGCTCTGCCTATCAATCGTATGGGTACGTGATCATCAATGGAGAATTAAGATTATAACCTGAAACTTTAAATACCAAATCAGACCTCATTATCCCATTACCCATGTTCCAAGTTTTGTAATTTGAACCAGTTCCACCACTTCTTCCCCTGCTCACTTCCTACTTTCCTTCGTTTAAATCCTGGTTATGGGAATTTCATGTTGTGACGTCATCAGGCCATGTTGTGACGTCATCAACACAGGACGGAACGTCACCCACACTTGCTCAACCCAGGGTGGGTGGGACATTTCGTCATGAACGTTAATGCTGTGATCTGATGAATTATCTTATGAATTAATTCATTTCGTTTAGTAAAGCATTGCCCTTATCCATGGTATAATAAGCAGTTTAAGTTAAACGAAAGTTTGTTAAGACCTGCTCTAACAGTGGGCACCGTTTTGTTTATCCTTAATTAGTTAATTTTAAACAGAATCTTGGTCGCATATTAACAGGGTAGTAAATACCGTGTTTCGTTTTCATATGAGCACAATTATAACCTCGTGTAGCCTCGTGTTATCCAAAATTATCCTACATTTTAATATCAACAGTAGTTTTCATGTTACATGTTTTGTTTATGCCGTATAGTTATTTTGAGCTCTATTTAAACTATATTTAAACTTCTTAGTTCTTCCAACAACTATGACAGTTATTCATATTAACATGGTGCCATCCATTTTCGTAACTGGCGTCAAGATATCAAGTATCTCAAAGTGTGTATGCTATTAATGTATAGCAACGTGTATAGCAATGTATAGCAATGTATAGCAATGTATAGCAATGTATAGCAATGTATAGCAATGTATAGCAATGTGTATTCTATTCTAAATTATGGGCCCACCACGTCGTTACCGGTACCTTAGGCCTAATTTCTAGCCTGCTCCGAGTGAAATGGCCATTTTGAACAATTGGTAATGAAGTGTGGACCAGGTGTTGTGACGTCATCAGGCCATGTTGTGACGTCATATACACAGGACGGAACTGTGATGAAGTGTGGAAACCCTCCTTCAGGGTAACTGTACTACTCAGCTTCCGATGGAATGTTCTGGGAATGTTCCTTGTTCGTTTTAATCTTAAATTCACAGAGGTTTTACCCTCATTATTCGAGTTGTTGCCGTCACAAAAACGTCCGAAATTATTCGGCATTATCAAATATTACCCCCATTAACCAGGACTTTGTTGTTACCGCTACTACAAAAGAACGGATTCACTAATACCTGTCGTCTAACAACCCTATTTTAGCGTCACTTCTACACCATATGGTCTGACAAACATATCAAACCTTTATTTAGCATATTTTATATTCTCACTATACTATATGCCTGCAAACATAGCAAACCTTTATTTAGCATATTATATATTCTCACTATATGCCTTCAAATATACGGGTGTTATTAGTATAGCCCAATATTTGACGGTATTACTTGTTATCCCTTCGTACTGAAGCTCACCAGTCTCTCAATTCTCAATCTTTCTCTCTTACTGTTGCTAGGTTACTGTTGCTAGGTTACTGTTGCTATATGCCTTCAAATATATCAAACCTTTATTTAGCATATTATATATTCTCACTATATGCCTTCAAATATATCAAACCTTTATTTAGCATATTATATATTCTCACTATATGCCTTCAAATATATCAAACCTTTATTTAGCATATTATATATTCTCACTATATGCCTTCAAACATACGGGTGTTATTAGTATAGCCCAATATTTGACGGTATTACTTGTTATCCCCTCGTACTGAAGCTCACCAGTCTCTCAATTCTCAATATTCCTCTCTGTTACTGTTGCTAGGTTACTGTTGCTAGGTTACTGTTGCTAGGTTACTGTTGCTAGGTTACTGTTGCTAGGTTACTGTTTCTAGGTTACTGTTGCTAGGTTACTGTTGTTAGGTTACTGTTGCTAGGTTACTGTTGCTAGGTTAATGTTGCTAGGTTACTGTTGCTAGGTTACTGTTGCTAGGTTACTGTTGCTAGGTTACTGTTTCTAGGTTACTGTTGCTAGGTTACTGTTGCTAGGTTACTGTTGCTAGGTTACTGTTGCTAGGTTACAGTTGCTAGGTTACTGTTGTTATCCCCTCGTACTGAAGCTAACCAGTCTCTCAATTCTCAATCTTCCTCGTTTCTCTGTAGGACACAAAACTCCTCCATGTATCTTCTCTGAGTATAAAACTAGTTTCCCTGAACTATCCCTACATCTGCCAGTGCCAGGGACTTGTTACTAGTTTCCCTGAACTTTCCCTACATCTGCCAGTGCCAGGGACTTGTTTACGCTTTGATTGTGGTGTCTGGTGGTGCATATTATGTAAATAAATATAAATATTCAGTAAAAGAATCTTCAACTGTTGGCACTTTATATACTTTGTTCTATTTTTATTGCAATAACTCTCTTAAATTTACCGACGGCAGCCCAGTTTACTGTCGGTGAACTTTTCGGTCCACTAATTGCTAACTCAATAAGTGGTACCTAATTTAACCTAGTTTCTTAACTTACTGTTGCTAGGTTACTGTTGCTAGGTACTCGTTTCTTAACTTACCGCTCATTATTTTGTTCATTTAATGAGAGATATTTGTTTGTAGCATTCTTTATTTCTATTGTTGTCCATTTCGTTTTAGTTTATCCAATTATCTTTTAACCGATCAGTTTGGATGCTCCCTACAAGTGCTTTATATTAATTAGGAAATAAATCGTGTAATTATACTTATCTGCTTTGATAATAATTAGTAATTTTCATTTTTAATAACCTGTATTTGCATTAATTAATTAAGTGTTAAATAATTACCCTTATCTAGTTCTGTGAACTGCCTCTGTCTCGTCATCCCCGGATATTTATATGATTGCTGGATTCATCAAGAGTTGCTTTAACCCTAACACAAGCTTCATCGTCCAAGAAACCAAACTCCAACTTCACCATGACAAGATTCAGAATAATTTGTAAGTTTGAAAAATAAAAATACGATTTTCATAGCTTACAATTGAGTTTCATATATAATCAGTACGTGACTTAAAGATGTTGTGTAACCGAGGGGGACTGGATGACAGAAAAGAAATAAAGTTGTCATCAGCTGCATTATTAGTTCACAGAAATATAGCGTTATATAGTGAAATATAGTGAAATATAGTGAAATATAGTGTTATATAGTGAAATATAGTGAAATATAGTGAAATATAGTGTTGATGTCTTAAGTGCCAGCTAACGGAAGATGTCGTTTGCGAATTTTTAATTATTTAACTGTGAGATAACGATTACCATTAACATGATATAATGGGTTGGAGCGAGGAGAGGAAGTAGTCTACATTAACTCCTGCCTGCCACGTGATGCCCATATAAGGAGTGTGCTGGATCCAACTTGTTATTTTCATGAGATGGTTCTTGGAGCCGTCAACAGAAAAATCCGTTATAATTTACGTACAGAACTTAAAACAAGTGCTGGTTAAGTTTCTAAAATGATAAAGTCTGCACAAGGAACATGATAAGATATCATTATATCACGTCATAATAATTGTTAAAATAACAGAACTACCACGATAATCTCTCCTCAATATTCATCTTAACTACCATACAACTTTACCCAGCCCTTGCAGTGGTACCGGGTATTGTATGGGTATTGTAGTGCGAGTTCACCTCAGCGAGTGTTGTCTGGTTTTGAGGAATTCATTGCTTCCTACACTTCCAATTATTCGTACTTGTGAAGAATTACCTAATTACCTAATTACCTCATTACCTAATTACCTCATTACCTAATTACCTCAACATACCCAACTATTTGCTTGGTTTTGTCGTACCCGCATACCAAGCAACTGACGACTGACGAGTGGTCCACTATGATTGTTGTGTGGTCCACATGGACAGGATGTAAACAAGTTGTAACTATCGTTACCTGGTCTTGTCATATTTAAGTTATTATTTAAGTGGTGTCCGGGAGGAGATAATAAGTGTGATGAGAAAGCAATTAGAATCCTGACAACACTGTGATTCCAGTTGTCCTGACAACACTGTGATTCCAGTTGTCCTGACAACACTGTGATTCCAGTTGTCCTGACAACGCTGTGATTCCAGTTGTCCTGACAACACTGTTCAAAGTTTGTATTGATTGTGGGTCGTGGCGCCTGCTAAGTGTTTAGATCTCCGATATGCTGTGATGTTGTGAAATATTTAGTTGTCAGTGTTAAATAGTTATTATGAGTAAACATTACGAGATACGAGTAGTCGTTGTGAGTAAACATTACGAGATACGACTAGTTGTTGTGAGTAAACATTACGAGATACGAGTAGTTGTTGAGAGTAAACATCAGATCCGGGAACCTAGCTTGTCAGTTCATGATACACTAGGAAAGAGTCAGATTTGTAGTAAATTTGGTTTCAGTATTTAAACTGAGGTATTAACGTGATGCTAATAATATTTAAATACAAATGCGAGTGTTAACAATCACCATAGCAACGCGATATAATCGTCTAAATGATGGTTATTAAAATACGTGACGATCTCCACAATTTCAGGTTGCAGTCACCGTTTAAAAATGCGATCAGGCCTAACCGAAGGACCACCACGTCAACAAACCCAGTCAGATTACGGCAGAAACTGGACAAAGAGCACAAGGAACAGGTAACTTCCAGTTGTCATGACAACAAGGAACAGGTATTTTCAGTCACGAGTTCTTGTTATTCCTTTTGACTGTTATTACTGTTATTACTTGATGTCCAGGTGGTTGTGGTAGCGGCGCCAACAATATATCAGATCACCGGTGACTGGTTACTGGTTACTGGTTACCGGTGACTGATTAGGATGTTGTGAAATGTTCAATGATTGTTGTGTGCCGCCGAATCAAGCTGACATCTTACTTATTTAACGACTAAATACAATATCATATGTAAAATCCGCTTGTTCTAAATCAACGCATTATTTGATCAGGATGAGAAAGAGAACGTGCTGAAGAGAGCCGAATCTAAGAACCCTGGAGCAGTTTCCCACTGGAAGAAAGGTAAGCTGAACCCTCATCTTACCTGGTTACCTGGTTACCTGGTTACCTGGTTACCTGGTTACCTGGTTACCTGGTTACCTGGTTACCTGGTTACCTGGTTACCTGGTTACCTGGTTACCTGGTTACCTGGTTACCTGGTTACCTGGTTAATGTTAGGTTTCTGTTTCCGAGTTTTAGAATTGTGAGCAGAGGTTGAACCCTGCTGTGTTCTGATTGGTTAATTTGTGTCACGTGGTGTGAATACTGTGCTCTGATTGGTTAGTTTGTGTCACGTGGGCAGAGGTTGAACCCTGCTGTTTCAGACAACCCGAGAGAGAGACCTCACTCTTACACCTACGGCGGTATATACTGCGTGTGTTTTAGAGTGATCTTTACTTTTAGCCTAAAAAATTATTTTTTAAATATCGCTAAATCGTGTGGCTGCAGAGTACAGAAATTGGGTACTTTTCGTGATCTTTGTAGAGTGAGCGCTGATTTTAGTATCTGTTACTCGGTGAGTAGTAACCGACCATAACGTTTTGATTTATATAATATTTACCGATCAACAAAAAAAAAGAAAAAAAAACGGTCAACAAAATGTTGGAAGGTCTTATTCTATCTAACACGGGATACTTTCAGCTTCTTCGGGTAAATAACAGTTTGATTGTAGGTATTTTGTGGGCATTCTGTGCTATATTGTGGAATGTAGTTGTGGCTTCTGGTGGCATCTGTCATCTTCTGGGCAGTTTGCGCCATATTTTGGCATTGTGCCATATTTTGGCATTGTGCCATCTTTTGGCATTGTGCCATCTTTGGCATTGTGCCATCTTTTGGCATTGTGCCATCTTTTGGCATGGTATGCGGTGTTTACAGAGGTGGAGTGGCATGATATTTTATAAAAACAAATATTTGCTTGTTGAATTAACTGACTTGGTTATGGTCTGCTGCGAGTGTCAAAGTAAGGTTTCTGTGAGATTGAGAGTTAGAAAATGAAAATACTGTCTCATTTATTGCGGTTGATTGCAGTAATTTGAACAACGTAGGAGAAGTGAATACGTGACTTTGGAAAGATTACTCAGGTCTTTAGTATATAACTAGGTTATGAAAAGTAAGCTGATTAATAATAACTAAAAGGAAAGAGCAATATTAAAGTATTTTGTTCGATTACAAATATTAAAAATAAGTGTTAAATATTATTTGTTTCACTGCACTCTGCTATACTAGAGTATTATCTGTTGTAATGTACCTAATAACATTAAGATTCTAAATACGGTTTGTTTACAGAGGAAAGTTTAACTGTTCACTTCTGCACGTGTAGCAGCTGGGTTCCTCAAATCACCATGGAAACAGTTACCCTACTACCGAATATCATGATTCATGCCATGTTGTAGAAATACGACTCAGTTCAGCCTTTTGCAAATCTGCAAACAAAATGCCATGTTGTAGGAGTATAAAATGACTTTCTTTCACCATTTTTAAAATTCATTGACGGCCAAGAGAATAAAATGTGTAGGTGACCAAAAAAGGCTAAATTGGCACAATAAAAGTGCAGGGACCCCATAAGTGTGCAGCGGGGGCGACAGATTGTTTTTGGCGATAAAGTTCTAACTTATAGTTCCTATGGTAAAAGTAAATTACATTCTATGATAACATATGGTAACATATGGTAACATATGGTAACATATGATAACATATGGTAACATATGGTAACCCCATATCGGCACGTGTTGTACATAGAAAGGTGACTAGAAACAAACAATAGTAGCAATGTTGTGTCAAGTGGTGTGAATACTGTGTTCTGATTGGCTAGTTTGTGTCACATGGTGGTATATTCAATGAAAGTTGTGGTCAGCTCAGACCACGTAAAATGTGTGTGGGCTACGTGTTAAATTGTTTTGAACAGTGTTGAGAAAACCTCTTGTTTTCCTTGTGCTTCATGCACTGTAGCTCTGTGAAGGTGTAAACTCTGCTCATGTGTGCTCCAAAATATCTCAAAACGTGAATGTCAAAACGATTTCAAACTTTAGAGTGTCCAGACTTAGTGAGTCCAGACTAAACCGAAGTCCCTCGTGTAGACTAAAACGAGCCCATGATGACAGATTTTGTACCATGGTACACAGAAAAGTCGGGATTAGAAATATATTTCATTCAGAAATAGCGTGCCATGAGGTAATATAGATATACATTTTAGTCAGGAAGGGACCAATTTAGGAATGGAGACTTGTGTATACTGTATAGATACACATTTGAGTCAGGAAGGAATACCTAAATCTGAGGAATAGGGCTTCACAAATACCACCTATTACTGAAAATTTCTTTAGTGCGGCTATAGAGCTTCCCTTACGAACGGAGAGGTTTAACACGGTCGTGTTGAACAGGAGGATCACAACGGTTTAAAACTTGATGATCTGTGAAGTGAGCGTGAGGTGAGGTCACTGTGTGCGTTTTGAAATGGAAGGGAGAGAAATACTGTTGAGAAATTCCTGAGGAAGTCCCAGGGTTGAATGTTTTTTAAGTTTGCTCCTGGAAGCTGACGTAAGTAGTATATGATGCATCATATACTACTGACCTATACTGTTTGTTCTCCCTTGAGAAATGTAAAAAGTAACGCTCTGTCTTGTTGGAAATCAAAAAGAGAAGTTAAGCATGCTGCATCTAGAATATGATTTGGATTGAAGAGAACTTGTTCTTAACTTATTGCTCCCTTCATCACATCTAACAGTTTCTAAAACTAAACACAAAGGAGTCCCTCGAATCATAATCCTTACAAACAATTCATTTCAGCTCGTCTAGCAGCATCAGCTATCAATTATTATACAAGTCTCACTAAACTAACATGTGACGTAATAGTGACGTAATAGTGACCTAATAGTGACGTAATAGTGACGTAACATTTCAGCTCGTCTAGCAGCGTCAGCTATCAACGGACTGCAGATGAAGATAGACTTTGCAAGTGCTGCGCGCGGTCTGCGCAAGACTGAGAAGCGCGCTGACGGCACCGCAAAGGTCAGCAAGGCAGCGGGTGAGGAGTCTTGTGTAGAGTCTCATTTCCCTGAGAAAATGCTCCTTTTGCTCAAGGGAAGGAAGAACGTGAGTCAACTGAACACTTTGTCCGGGGAGATCATAATCATTCAGGAGGCAAATTATCAGTCGATTACGAAATCAAACTGCAGTTATTTAATCAACGGCACACCTTTAATAACAATCATCATATATTATAAAAGTGTCACTAAACTAACATGCTACTAGTAACATGGTACTACTAACAGGTACAATGTGCTCTTGTTGAATGCAAGGTTTCGTCTCTTAACAGCGGAGACGTCTTCCTCCTACTCCACAAAGACGAGCTCTTCCATTTCGTTGGCGAAGAAGCCAACGTTCACGAAAAAGCAAAGGTTAGTTTTTAAATGATATTTACATTTTACTTTTAGTTGATGTTAATATGTAAGTTTCTTGTAAGAAACGCCATAAAAATGGTATCGTCAATTAATTATTTGTCGTCAATTTGATGACGTCGTCAGTTTAATCTCCTCTACATCCAACGATAACGTCAATGCCCCCTCAGGGAAATGATCTGGTAGACCGTATCATTCGTAATAAGGAGATGGGTTGCACAGCCACTAAATGTGTCTCACTGCAAGAGAAAGATATGGATATGTGCAACAGAAGTTTTAAACGTTTCTTCGAACTTCTTGGTGGTCGTCCCCCTATTGCAGGTAACTTAAATCCCTTTCATTTCGATATCAATTGTACATTTTTAATTCTCCAACTGAATCAAGTGGGAGCTTTCTTCAAGCCAGACTTTTCTGTCCGTTGTCAGTTGTAAGGGGGTTGTATTTCAACCATAGAATAGAACTCCTACAGTCCAAGGATCAGACCTCATTATGAATTTTAAAAGCTACATAAATTAATATAATTATATTAATATAATTATATTAATATTATTATGTTATGCAGACGAGCCCTTAGAGCATTAGCGTAACTTATCCAGAAATCCACATGGAAATTATAAATTATTTGTGCCGTCTATGAAAATCGCATACTCTTGAAAAATTGCATACATTACACAAGAGAGTATAGTTAGGGTCTGTTATAAATATTAATACTTCTGTGGGATTAATTCACGCTTTACAGGCAACTATTCAGCAAATCACTATATCGCCTGATCGAGCGGGAAAGTATTTGCTTAGTTACTATCTACTATACATCTAGTTACTATACTATCTACATCTAGTTACAATACTATTTACATCTAGTTACTATCTAGTTACTATCTAGCTACTATCTAGTTACCATCTAGTTACTATCTAGCTACTATCTAGTTACCATCTAGTTACTATCTAGTTACTATCTAGTTACTATCTAGTTACTATCTAGTCACTATTTAGTTACTATCTACAATCTACATCAACAGAGCAATAAGAGCTGAACCTCAGAGGGCTGCTAGTATAGGGTAGTATATTATATAGCCCGCTGTTAGATACAATACTCGGATAAACATTGTGGAATGTAAAACATCACATTACTAGTTACATACTGACAAGAGTCACATACCTTCATGTAGAATGTAGATCTACCTTTATTTTTAATAACAATAGATTTGCATACTGGTGAGCAGGTGAGGGGGTGAACCATATTCCTCTGACAAGTGCGAGCGAATAATCAGCTTCTATCACAGTAGTCAGTACAGTAGCACTGGCCTTTAAAATAAAGATCACGTGACAAAAAAAATAGGTTCACCAGATAGATCACATGTTAAACTCACAGATAACAGAGGATATAAGGCTAACATAACATTTTCCCTTGTGTATTTCACCAGTACACAATTGTAGATACCAATATGGGAGGTCCATGTGAAATGTGATACAGATTGTTCATTACCCGTGTTCCTTTCTGTTAAACTACAAATGAGACCCAGGTTGTACCTTGTATCATGTAAATCATTACAAATTCATTACGCGGTGGATGACGTGATCACGTGACCACGTGATTACGTGACCACGTGATGACTGTGTTTAAAGTCATGCAAATCACGCGCGGCAGCGTACGCGGCGGCTTTACTATTTCTAGGGTGGATTTATCATTTAGGTCAAGGTATTTGTGGAATTAGCTTTGATTGGAAAATTCCATCAGTGAGATCAGAATTTGTTGTCGGATTCATTAGGGGCATTAAATCGTGCTTCAGCATTACATTTATACATTATGTCAAAACATTTTTCGTCATTGATCATCGATAACTGACAAACATTAAATTAATTTATCCAAATATTCCATTTAAGGATGCACGATTCAGAATTTTTGACAAGTGAAAACATGTTTGGTATTTGGAAATTTGTGATAGTAATTTGGAAGCCTAGATAAAAATAGCTTTCCCGGAATTATTGACACTGATTCATTTTCTACCTTACAACACTGAATCGAAGAAGTGATAAGAACCATAAATTTTTGATATTTTGGTTTCATCATTCATGCTAACAGCGACAAACCGTCGAATGACCATTGCTCAATAATAATCAGTAACTACACATATCTCCAGATCCACGTTTATTGAATTTAAATATGCCCATAGCCCCTGCATATGCTCCAGCATAGGTCCCTGCATAGGTCCCTACATAGGTCCCTGCGTATCAAGAGCCAGGTTTCCCTTTGTTTCCCCAAGATACACACAACTACCTTGCTCCTTCATAAAGATACACACAACTAGGATCCGGTTCTGATTGGTTTAAATTTGCAGCATCCTGATTGGCTGGTACAAGTCACGAGATGGATTCTCCTTCGCTGATTGGTCGGCGAGTGGCAGGTAGTGAGTACACGGGATAAATCTTATTATTAACCTCATTTGGGAGGTAAGGACCCGGAATATACTCCTGTTCATTAGATTGGGGGACCTGTGGGGCCAGAACTTCTTTTAATTGTGCTGAAATGGATAAGATTTGTTATTATGGTATTCAATTTGAGTTAATAATAGCCTAAAAGTGGAGCATACCCGTAACAGTAGTCCCATTACCTTAGTATATTACCTGTACAACTACAACAATAACTGTTTCCCTTTGTTTTGATATATATTCAGTGAATGATTAACATTTAACAATCTTATGCCAGCTCCTCAAAAATAAACAATACGATCGACTGATCATCAGTATAAAACGGGAAAATAAACAAATTAATAAATTTTAATTAATATTGACTTGTTAACCCGCAGGTTTGCCTGACACTGCTTTGTACGGAGTCCTAAAAGTTAACAATGCTAAACTCATTGCGGTTAACATAAACTATTGTCTTCCCAGGAATTTCCGGATATTTGAATTTGTTTGTAAATCTTCTGTTTATTTCCAGAGAAAGAGTCGGTTATAGAGGATAAGGAATTTGAGAAACGGTTCCAACAAGAAGCTAAAATCAGTGTTTACGAGGAACACGAGGAGGAGGAACCCTCATTTGTTCAGCTTAACACCGGCAAAAGGCTCAGATACGACATCTGGACTCCAAAAAGGTAACCACTAGTAACCATTAGTAACCACTAGTAACCATTAGTAACCAATAGTAACCACTAGTAACCACTAGTTACCACTAGTTACCACTAGTAACCACTAGTAACCACTAGGTAAGAGGTGATTAGTTCAAAATGCTTAAGACTAGCTTGTAATATGATTTCAAAGGATTTCAAGGATTTCAAAAGGATTTCAAAATAAAATGATCATTACAATAAACATTGTGTCGGATCTAAATATTAAAAAATAAAGATAAAATGAAAGTCAAAAACGAAAAAACCGAAACCTGTCCTGAAAAATGCACGGTTGACGGTTATAGTCTAAAGAGTTTTAAAAACCGAGCTATTCTAAAAAGGAATGTTCATGACGCGAACAACCAGTCCTTTGTGTCCATGCCTAAGATCCACACATAAATTCCACACTAAATCAAAAGTGTGAAACGCACACGAAAAATAACACACAGTCGGATCCACGTTTCGCATGTTGAGTCCGTGAGTCATGTTGTAGGTCCTTCCTTTTCTTTTCTGTCACTCGGGGGGAACCTCCGCTTGTTCACTTTACTCAAGAATCTGGCAGTTTCTCTGATCAATAGGATATCCTTGAAGAGGTCGGCAAAGGTCTCCGCTCCAGAGGTGATCATGGTTCTCGCCTGCTGACCTATGTTTCGCCTCAGGTCGTCGTAAAGCGAACAATCCGTGAGAACGTGTTTCTCATCTTCAATGATCGGCTCAAACATTGGTAGTTCGGCCAGTATACCGACAGCTTCAAGGTCTGATGAAGAACAGTGCTTACAAATGCGACTGAGCGGATTTTCACGGTTGATGGCGTATCTACCGGTCTCGATGTTGAACTTATGAGCACTCATTCTGAACTGCGCCAGCCGCTTCACCTCTTCTCCACTGAGCTGCAGGTTCAGGTACGCTTCAGCTGTAAATTCACTTTTGATAGTGTTGTAGAAACTGAGCTTCCGGTTGTTTTGCCGCTCCTCGTTCCAACAGTTAGTAAAAGTACTACGTAGTGCTCTTTTGAATTGGTTGGGGTAGGTCAACCTGCGAGATGATACTGACTGAAGGCTTTGTCGGAGATCTTCTATACCTTTGTACCATGGCAGATTGAGTGTGCGTTGTTCTATGAACGCCTGTCTGGCTAGACTTGTGCAACCAGCTCTGTCCATTTGCTCAAGTCGGTTGAAATACCCAAATACTTGCTTTGATGCCTTTATCACTAGGGGGCAGCGGCCTGTATCACCCCATACACTCGCATTTGAGGTTTTTCTGCCCACTCCTAAGGTCCACTTGAGGAATGAGAGATGAAGCTTTTCGAGAGGATCTCTTGCAGTCTCCTTCAGGAGAGATTTGGTGTTGATATTATCTTGATAGTTTCTGACAAAGAGAGTCTCTGGGAGCCACACCTGACATCCGTATGTCACAATCGGTACCACAAGCGCGTCGAATAGCTTGAATACGATTGTTCGCCTGAAGTGTCTTAAGTCAATACTGCTTTTTAGCGCGAAGTAGCTTCTGAGACCTTTTTGCTTCAGTTTGTTCTGTGCTACTGCTGAAGAACCGTTGAGGGTAAAGGTTATCCCGAGGTAGCAATATTCTCGAACTGATGTGATGTTGGTTTCGCCGAGTTGGAATGTCAGACTCTCTTTAAGGAGCCTCCCGGAACGGTTGAACACCATCACTGCCGTTTTTTCGATGTTAACGGTTAGTCCCCATTCGATACAGTAACTGTGTAAAACGTTTAGAAGTTTCTGTAGTCCAGTATGATCAAGGGCAAGAAGTATAAGATCATCAGCCCAGAGGAGATGAGTGATATTAACATTATTCAGTTCAGGGACGTTGACTTCCTCAGCGTTATCCAGATCTAGGGAGAGTTGGTGGATGAAACACTTGAACAGCTCAGGAGACATCGGGTGACCTTGCTCAGTCCCACAGTGAATGTCGATTGTCTCTGACAATCTGTTCAACAGTTTGATTTTTGCTGAGGAATGTGAATACATCAGCTCGATACATTGAAAGTATCGACCTCTTACTCCTAGCTCCCAGAGTTTATAGAGCATGGCATCTCGGCACACAGAGTCGAACGCCTTCGCGTAGTCGACGAAGCATCCATATAGCCTCTTTTTCCGTTGCGTTACATACTTTTGGATGCAAGTTGAGAGTGTTAGTATGTGGTCACTCGTCTGTGCTTTTTTACAGAACCCTAGCTGGTTTATGGTGTCTGGACAGTTCAGTGACCGGAATGTGAGTAGGCGCTGTAATAAGATAGTTGAAAACAGCTTCCCAACATTGTTCGCCACGGCTATCGCCCGGTAGTTGTTCGGATCGTATACACTCCCCTTTTTGTGCAAGGGGGTAACTAGAGAGGTCGTCCATGGATACTCCCCGAGTTTCAAACAGTGGTTGAACAGGTTGAGAACAGCTGACAGCATTGGTTCATCTGACGAAATGAGGAACTCATTCAGGATTTTATCTTCGGCGATGGCTTTCCCTTTCTTAAGGCCTTTGATGGCGGTCCGAAGTTCCTCTATTTCGATATCTTTGTCCAGAACTTCCACGAGTTCATGAACACGAAGTTCAGTCTTTCTGCGTTCCGTGAAGTCAGCAGTTTCTTCATTCGGGAGGGAAGGTTTTGAGTACAGCTCTTTGAAGAATTTACAGAAGTTCATCATATCGAAAACGTCCAGCTTTGAGCCATTTGAGGAGAAGCTTTTAAGTTTCTTAAAGCGACTCCAGTTTATGTCGCGCCCCTCGTCAACATCACGACAAAGAGATTCCACGAACTTGGCCTTCTTCTGTCTCACGAGCTTTCGATATTCGCGGCGTTTGTTGTAGTAGCTGTCTCTCAGTTCTTTATCAAGAGGACTTTTACCGTATGTTTTAGCTAATCGATTTAGTTCACGTTTTTCGATGATGCAGGCAATATCAAACCATGGAGACTTCGGTTTTGCCCTTTTGTATCCCCGAGTTTTCCTATTGAGGGGTTTTTGTTTATGTTTTCTAGGTCTTGGTAGGGCCTGATCAGCCATATCACGATAAATGCCGACGATGTTTTCATTGAGCTTAATGACATCCTCCTTTTTTACGCAAACAGCTTCAACCAGTTCCGCGATTCTGCTTGCAAACTGGGGTTCTTTTTGGACATCTAGGAACTGCTGTTTATTCTCTGAAGCATTCTCGTCCCATTTGTGTTTTATTGGGGCTGGCTGGAGCGAGGATAGAATTTCGTCCGGATCAATTATATAATTATGACTCAGTTTATGATGTAACAGTAACGCACACCAAAAAGGTGAATGAACTTTTGAATTTATGGTTTCCTACTAAATCATTGAAAAAAATAACATTGAAAACCAAAAACATCGTGGACCTAATCATTTACGATTAGCTGTCTAACTAGTCTACTTACAATCGTCCTATATCAATAATATCTTACTATATATAAAGCGAGACGATATATATTATATATATATTTATCCGTGCCATTTTACTGACACCACAGCATCAACTTTAACGCGACTTTCCGCAAAAACCGTAAATGATATAAAACTGAAACTTTTTTGACTGGGTCAAATGCTTTAATGGCCTTCAAATCAGCATGTAAAAATAAAAAATCGGCCAAGGAATAGGAATTTTAGAGCCCAAAATTTGGACCCCCAAGTGGTGTCAAAAACGCGAATTAAATAGGTAATCATTATTTTAGTCTCTTGAGTCTTGACACCATTTTAGGGTTATACGGGTTCCTGCTAGTGTGTATAATATATGTGCATAATAATAATAACATGAATAATATGTGTCGGGTATCTAGATTTACAATTCCACTCGACCATTATAATAATAATATGTGGCCAGTAAGATTGTTGGTCAGAACATTGAGGAAACCTATATATGTGACATCATCTTGTTTAACATGAAAAGAAGACTTACCAGTAATCCAGACTTGGCACTTTAACACTCATGAGTTTATCCATTATAATATTCAAGTGAAACAAAGCGTGAATTTATACGGCCTCCACTGAACCGACCACTTACTCGACTTCTGTCCAAGAATTTCCTGTTTTCCTGCTGAGCATTCATCCAACATTGTTACATGTCAGTTTTTTGTGCGTTTTCTCTGTGATTCTAGGCATGATGAGTGAGGAGACATGGTTTCTGGGTCCTGCTTCAAAACTTCATGACTCAATTTTTTGAGTTTGTCGGTCACTAAGAATTGTTTCACTATGCGGAGAATGTCGTGAATTTTCTGGCCACGCTGTAATATTTGTGAATTTTTGTGTGTTCTCTCTACAAACTGTCTCCAGAGACAATGTTATACTTTATTAGTCGTACTTGAAGGCTTCAGGACTGTCTTTTTGAAATTTTCTTGAATTAGGCATGAAATTGAAGAGGCTTTATTTATGTCCCGCTCTCATCAAAAATGTCTGCGCTTAATTTTGTAACTTTATAATCGATCAATTAAGGGGTACTAACCAGTGATTGTAAAATAGTATAGTTTAAAGAATCCCCACAATTTTCTGGCATTTCATCCTAACTCTAGCTCCAATCAGCACTGCAGTACCACATTCGAAAATTCTTTCGAATGTTTAAAATGTGTACGGTATAGTGTCACCCTGTGCTGGAACTCGAAATGTATACAGAACACTTACAAAAACTACCAGAAATTAGAAATATGATACAGCCAAGTATGAAATGGTAAACATCTGTCATCTGCCAAGGTACATGCCTGGATTTAACGGACGTTTTTATAGTGGTGTGGACAGTGTAGTTACCAACCTGGCACAGTGACTACAGTGAGTTGTGACTATAGTGCGTTGTGACTACAGTGAGTTGTGACTACAGTGAGTTGTGACTACAGTGAGTTGTGACTACAGTGAGTTGTGACTACAGTGAGTTGTGACTACAGTGAGTTGTGACTACAGTGCGTTGTGACTACAGTGAGTTGTGATTACAGTGCGTTGTGACTACAGTGAGTTGTGACTACAGTGCGTTGTGACTACAGTGAGTTGTGACTACAGTGAGTTGTGACTACAGTGAGTTGTGACTACAGTGAGTTGTGACTACAGTGCGTTGTGACTACAGTGAGTTGTGACTACAGTGAGTTGTGACTACAGTGAGTTGTGACTACAGTGAGTTGTGACTACAGTGAGTTGTGATTACAGTGAGTTGTGACTACAGTGCGTTGTGACTACAGTGAGTTGTGATTACAGTGCGTTGTGACTACAGTGAGTTGTGACTACAGTGAGTTGTGACTACAGTGAGTTGTGACTACAGTGAGTTGTGACTACAGTGAGTTGTGACTACAGTGAGTTGTGACTACAGTGCGTTGTGAGCACCACAGAAACTCTGTGAATAGAGCACATAGAGTCATTATTCCAGGTCTGATAGTCATTGTTCTGTGTCCGTGCCCCACTTCTAGCCCTGGACTTCTGGTCCACCTAACTTGACCACACACAACTTGATCACGGAAACCTGAGAATACTGAATAGTGCAGGTACCACGGGTCTCCTGCGGTTCTGGACTCCGGTTCCCCTGTGATAGTGCAGGTACCAGGGGTCTGGACTTGTCCCCGGTTCCCCTGTGATAGTGCACGTAAATTGCGGTCTCCATTGGTTTGGGATTCCAAATGTTAATGGCAATTATTTTGGCTCCTCGACTGTAAATCTAAATTTGCCCACCGGAATGAAACCAAGGAGGGCTCTAGAGGGCTCCCGGCTCTAGAACCCGATTTTAAGTCAAAGTCTGGGGTAATCCTTATCAGGGAACAACTCATTTCTGAGCGACCTATCTAGTGTTGTGGGACATGCAGTTTACGGAGGGTAATTGTAGATAAATCTAAACCGCTATACGCCAGTTCGGTCTTGCTCCTCTATACTTAGCATGTAATCAAGATAATGAGGGTCATTACACGTGATGCCCATATAAGGTCATTAAGGGTGCTGAGAGTTCTGATTTGTAATCATATTCTTCCTCGTACGGCACTGGACTGCAGAACTGTATAACAGCTGACAATTAAAGAACCCTGGAATCATTGTGGAGAAAGATTACTTGAAAATTGGTATGAGATTCTTTGGAAGGGGGATATGAGCAATTAAATGTGGCTGAAGACGAGAATGAAGATATGAGTCTGTAACAATTAGTTAATTAGAAACGATTAGTTAATGGCTCAGTAATTGGTCTTTGCTTGTGTAGATCTTATAAGACTAAGAGGTATTGACTTTGCTGAGCGTGATAACAGAACTTAGAAACCGATTAAGATAATTAATCGGTTTCTAAAGAAAAAATCCAGTTCAAAATATATTATGATGAAAGCCAACTTTTTGTTACATCATTTATATATTATACGTGTGCACTGTGCATTTAACTCTATCTGTACACTTTACACATTATCATTACTTGTTCATTTATATGAGACAGCAGGGTCACGGAGATAAAAACAAATCAGCCAAACTTATTAGCAGAAAATATGCTTACATTACTTATACAATTGTTATATACAATATGTAATTGGTAATAGTTATATAATAGTTATATAATTGTTATATAATTGGTAATTACCTACATATTATCCTTACAAAGAGCCGTACACATTGGACCCACTCTTTCAGACCGGCCTCTTTGTTCACATTTAAAATACAGATAAGTACAGGGTTGACCCTGTGTCAGGATCTTTTCTCATTTTAGATGAGAGTTAAGACAGCGTACCTATTACTAAAACTGTTCCCAGGAGTATGATATTCCGGCCAAACCCTTCTTGTCTCACATTATCCACTGCTTACTTACTTTACTTTGGGCGATCCTCAATCGAAATCCCATTCACTGTCTGCCTCCACACGTCTCGATCGCACATAACAGTTCGAAGGTCGTCTAACTGGAGCCCAGTGTCACGAGCTACTACGTCCAGGAAGGTGAGTGGTCTCCTTCCACGGCCGGATTGGGCAAGTCGCCAGGGGAGGATAGTGGAGATAACTTGGTCAGAAGCTCTCATGCAATGCCCAGCAAATCTGGAACGCCTCGACGCAACCACTGAGGCAATAGATGGAAGGTTGCCATAGATCTGCTTGAGGGTTGGATGTTTCTTCCACGAGATGTTCTTGGCCTTCATTAAAAGACGGGTGTAGCATCCGTTGAGGCGCTTCTCAAGCTGCTTGTTTATGGTCCATGTCTCTGATCCATAGAGCAATACTGGTTCTACACAGGCTCTAAAGAACTTGACTTTCAGTTGTTCGGAAATGCCAGAGGACCAGACTTTTTGCAGTTTAATACAGGCTGACCAGGCCATTCCTTTCCTTGTGTTGAAATCCTTTCTACTGTCCGCAATGAAAGAGCCGAGGTATTTAAAGTCATCAACCTGTTTAATCTGGCGGCCTGAGATGGAATGTAAGTCGACAGTGTCAGGGATGTTGATGGTCATGAACTCGGTCTTAGAAGCATTCATAGCAAGACCAACTTGTGCGGCTGCATTTTCAAGGTCTGTCAGCAGAAGTTGGACTTGCTCTATGGTGTCTGACATTAAGGCCAAATCATCAGCAAAGTCAAGGTCTGTGATTTTGACCGCAGGCACTCTTCGACTTTTCCTAGGCACGATGGTAAGACCGAATTCTTCACCCATGCAGCTTCTGAGGACATAGTCAAGGACGATGATGAAGAGAAAGGGTGCTAGAGTGTCCCCTTGGAGAACTCCAATAAGTGTCCTAAAAAAGTCAGTAAGGCCGTCGATGGTCTGGACACGAGAGAACGATGAGTCATAAAGAAGCCTGATAGCATCTACAAGTGGAGCAGGGATACCGTAGAGGGAGAGGATGTGGAAAAGGGCATCCCGGTTAATGCTGTCGAACGCTTTCGAAAAATCGACAAACACAATTGCGGCTGAGCGATTTCCGATCTTGCATTCCTCGAGTATACGACGTAGGGCAAGGACCTGTGGGAGTGTGGATCTTCCTCTACGGAAACCATTTTGGTTTGGCCGCAAGAGGGGATCAATGAATGGGTAGATCCGGTTGAGGATGAGCTTGTTAAAAACTTTCGCTGCAACCGGTGCCAGTGAAATGCCACGGTAGTTTCCTGGATTAGTAAGATCACCCTTTTTGGGGATAGGAATGATAGAGGCCGTTTTCCAGGCTTGAGGGATCACACCATCCATGAGTGCTTTGTTACAGAATCCGAGGAGGTTTTCACGTAGCTGGGGAAGCTTCCAGACTGAGGGAGGGATGCTATCTAGACCGGGTGACTTGGAGGACTTGGCGGACTTCAGAACCGTGTCGAGTTCTGACATGCTGAAGGATGAGCAGCTGATGGGCAGGGTGTCAGAGACTCGCTGGTTGAAGAAGGGGAGGGTGAGGTCCGGCGGAGGCTGTTCTGTGCCTAGAAGGGACTTGAAGTGCTCGAACCAGATGTTGAGCCGTTCTTCGGTAGTGCCTCCTGGCACTTTGCAGTATGGCACAGTGTCGGAAGATGTTAGTTGCCTGATGATGTGCCAGGAACTGCGATGCCTGTGCTCAGGGTTAGTTTTCTCCAGCCGGTCAGTCTGTTGTCGAATGTGCTGTGAAGTAGCAGCATTATAGGCTTCGTCCAGTTGCTTCTTTGCGTCTTCAAGCTTTTCCTTGGACGAAAAAGAGGGGGAAATCCTGTGACTCAGGGACGCATCCTTTAGGATATTACGATGGTGTGCAATATTAGGATCGTTGTAAGGATTTTCCCGTTTCCTCTTCCTCTTTTTTGGCAGCACCTTAAGTGCTGTGCTTGTAACGCTTTTAACGAGCAGGTCGTAGTCGGACTCGAGCTCTGCTTCCTCTAGGAGTGCACTGTACCTGTTTTTCACTTCCACTGCATACTGGTGTTTCATGATGGAATCGTGGATCAGTGGAGTCCAGTCAATGCTCCTAAGAGGGTCCCGTGCTGGAGTTTTGTTGACTCTGTAGCTGGCTTGAACAAAACATGTTACAATCCGGTGATCTGAACCGACAGTTTGCATGATGTTGTACGCTTGACAGTTCTTCACACTGTTTGCCCACTTCTTACGCCAGAGTACAAAGTCAATTTAATGCTTTGCTCTTTTGGGGTCTTCATAGGTCCAAATTTTATTAGCCGGTTTCTGGAAACAGCGGTTAGCAACTATCAGCTGGTGTTGGTCTACCAGATCCAGTAGTCGTTCGCCGTTGTCGTTGGTTGACTGATGGTATGTGAAACCGTAGCTATTACTGAGCTTCGCGTTGAAATCACCGCACACTGCTAGCATGTTGTGAGGAGGCACCTTAGAGATGATCCTGGTTAGAGCGTTGTAGAATGCAGTTTTATCTTCAATATCACTGCAGTTAGTAGGAGCATAACATGAGAGGACTGTGAGGCGAGGATTCCCGTTTACATGGAGCAAGATGATTCTGCTATTAACTTTCTCTACAGATAGGAGAGATTTCTGAATTCTAGGAGATAAAAGAAACCCAACACCACCAACTGACGCATTAACTGAATTCTTCGTAGCAGAAGCAGTGATGAGCTGATATGATAAGATGTTTTCAATTCTTAGGGATTCTTTGTGGTGTTGGCGATGCTCTTGCAAGGAGATAACATCATTATGATGCAGGAAGGCTGAGTGAGCTAACTCCTGTTTACGTGATACAGGGTTGAGAGTCCTACAGTTGAAGGTGCTAACCTGAAAAGGGGTTTTCCTACGAACTAAAAGGGTAGTAACAGGGTTGCTGCAACTATCAGGACCCACCCCTCCCGAGGGTTTTAGGGAGGGCCCGTCATACAGGGAGCTAGCTGCCACTGAGTAGTTAGGGGCTTGAACCCTAGTGCTGTTATCGTGTGTCATCATAAAAGTGAGGGGGGATTTTGTCTAATGGCTAGACATTGTTCCAGGCACGGCGCCACTGCAACCTGGATGTGACACTATAATCCAATACCCTCATCAGTAGGTACAATCACGGGTGCAGGTCTTCATAAACCCGGCTTGTTTTTCGAGGTATGTGCTCCTCTAGATCCGCCGTGTTTAGTTGACCCAGACAGTCGGATTCTTCAATGACATGCCGGTCTAGCAGGGTCACCTCGTGCAGGATGTGGCTCTTCACCACGCACGGACGGTCTAAGCTCGATCTAGAGTCTAGACCGAGCCCTGGCCCATATTACAGGACCTTGAAACGGATCAGTTCAAAATGAAGCTGAACATGACCCTCCACTGCTTAGTATGGAAATATAATAAGATGCTGCCAGGTTTCTGGTACTTATTTTAAGAGTGAACAGCTTTGAGGATATTTTAAAGACCTGGAGTAAAATCATTCATGATTTTAACAAAAAATGGAACTTTAATGTTCAGTTGGCACTCTCTAATGATATAATCATAATAACCTCTAATTTCAGACGTTTGTGCTGGACTTCATCACAGAGTACTACATCTGGTGCGGAAAAGGAGTGCCTCTCTCGGTAAGAAAGAAGGCGCTGCTGCTTGCTGAAGAGGAATACAAGAGAAGCGTTGAGGAATGTCCCAGAAACCCTATCGTACCTCCTCAAGTAAGTGTCCCATAAAACCGCCTCTCTCTAAGTTAGCACTTAACAATTTTACATACTCCATACTGACAATATTTGTACCGTGGTCTCTGAACTAACAGGACATGACCCTAGGGAAGAAGAGCCAGTGTTGCCATGACAGCTGGAGCACTTCCCTCAACTGATGTACAGCGGAGGACATCATGTGCCAGTAGGGGTTCTGTTGATATGCCCAGCTCAGTAAAGCTACTTAGACGAACATCCAGCGCTTCTAGTAAAAGTAGGTGTTAGCGTGGCTCTGATAGGTTCTCTGAACGAGATATGGATAGTGTAGTCCAATATCTTGAGGCTCTGATTGGTCCTCTGAACGAGATATGGATAGTGTAATGTAATATCTTGAGGCTCTGATTGGTCCTCTGAACGAGATATAGATAGTGTAGTGTAATATCTTGACCAAAGTGATAGGACTGTGAATAATACATCTCTACAAAATGTTAATAATATTATAAAGTTATACAAGTAGGCACGGGTTACACTAGTAAAGTTATAATGGTACTCAGTCATCAGTTAAACCTTAAATCATCTCTCCATATTTCATCACATATTATCAACAACGACAATCCGAAAATCTCACCAGTTACATGCGTCGCTTACATACCCTACTTCCAACTTCTGAACCCCGTCTTAGAAAATCTAAAATCATCACCTCAACTCAACATTGCTACGATTAAGTGCTCCTTTATACTTTATGTTATAAATAATCAGGAAGAGTAAAGTTACTATATTTTCAGTGACGCAGCGTAGTATCAGTTCAGACAGCGTTGGAAATGCTAGAAAAGTTAGCGTTAATGTCCACTCCCGAGGCAGCATTTCGAGGGTGAGAACAAGATGATAATTAGTCAATTAGATAATTACTAATAAGATAATCATTAGACACAAATTACGATCACCCCAATATTCTTAGAGACACGGAATTTGGTTGAAATATGCAAAATTAGTGTGTACATCCTTTGTGGAATCCCTCGGGAATCAAATGCTCAATTTGAATACCTTAAAATTAAATTCCGCCCAGGTAAACTCAGAAACCAATCTGCGGAGGATGTCCTCGACCTCGACCAGCTCCTCCGGGGAACGCCGGCAATCTATCGCCTCCCAGGTACTAGCAACTGTAACCTAGCAACTGTAACCTAGCAACTGTAACCTAGCAACTGTAACCTAGCAACTGTAACCTAGCAACTGTAATTCATGTGCAGTTTCCGGGACCGTTCACCTTTTGTTCCTAGTAACAAGTAAAATAGGTGGTAAGAGTATTAGCAGGGTTGGCATGATGTAAATCTCCTTATATGGGCATCACATGTAGGCTGGTTTCAGTTACACTCGGGTGTAACCTTATTACACGCGTATCACTAGTTATTACACGTACATTTCCCATGTTACAGACACCCTCACAACTAGTTTCAAATGTCTCCTCCCACTCTATAATACTGGTACACTGGTTTGTGATAAGTTTATTTAGTAGTTTAGTGTAACTATGGTAACTAGAAGACGTCATGGTACACTGTTTTGGTGACAGCTACAGGGTCCTCTTCATTTGACACAGAAACCAAATAATCTTGTTATCTTTATCGGACTGTATTGTAACAAGCTAACACCTCAACTTTTAAAACACGAACACAGGTCCACCCCAAAAAGCAAACTTCCTTTGTTCCTTGGAACTCTCTAGAGGTTTCTTCAGATAGCCCCCTTTGTAACACGGTTATATCCCCAGGGAGGAAGACGCATGTCCACATCCAGCAGACGCTCCTCCTCTGTTTCAAACGGTCGAGGATCATCATCCCGCAGATCTAGTCTCATGAGCACGAACAGTGTGGACAGTTCGGGACAAACCAGAGGTAAGTTGAGCACGAACAGTGTGGACAGTTCGGGACAAACCAGAGGTAAGTTGAGCACGAACAGTGTGGACAGTTCGGGACAAACCAGAGGTGAGTTGAGCACGAACAGTGTGGACAGTTCGGGACAAACCAGAGGTAAGTTGAGCACGAACAGTGTGGACAGTTCGGGACAAACCAGAGGTAAGTTGAGCACGAACAGTGTGGACAGTTCGGGACAAACCAGAGGTAAGTTGAGCACGAACAGTGTGGACAGTTCGGGACAAACCAGAGGTGAGTTGAGCACGAACAGTGTGGACAGTTCGGGACAAACCAGAGGTAAGTTGAGCACGAACAGTGTGGACAGTGCGGGACAAACCAGAGGTAAGTTGAGCCCGGACAGTGTGGACAGTGCGGGACAAACCAGAGGTAAGTTGAGCACGAACAGTGTGGACAGTTCGGGACAAACCAGAGGTAAGTTGAGCACGAACAGTGTGGACAGTTCGGGACAAACCAGAGGTAAGTTGAGCACGAACAGTGTGGACAGTGCGGGACAAACCAGAGGTAAGTTGAGCACGAACAGTGTGGACAGTTCGGGACAAACCAGAGGTAAGTTGAGCACGAACAGTGTGGACAGTTCGGGACAAACCAGAGGTAAGTTGAGCACGAACAGTGTGGACAGTTCGGGACAAACCAGAGGTAAGTTGAGCACGAACAGTGTGGACAGTTCGGGACAAACCAGAGGTAAGTTGAGCACGAACAGTGTGGACAGTTCGGGACAAACCAGAGGTAAGTTGAGCACGAACAGTGTGGACAGTTCGGGACAAACCAGAGGTAAGTTGAGCACGAACAGTGTGGACAGTTCGGGACAAACCAGAGGTGAGTTGAGCACGAACAGTGTGGACAGTTCGGGACAAACCAGAGGTAAGTTGAGCACGAACAGTGTGGACAGTTCGGGACAAACCAGAGGTAAGTTGAGCACGAACAGTGTGGACAGTTCGGGACAAACCAGAGGTAAGTTGAGCACGAACAGTGTGGACAGTTCGGGACAAACCAGAGGTGAGTTGAGCACGAACAGTGTGGACAGTTCGGGACAAACCAGAGGTAAGTTGAGCACGAACAGTGTGGACAGTGCGGGACAAACCAGAGGTAAGTTGAGCCCGGACAGTGTGGACAGTGCGGGACAAACCAGAGGTAAGTTGAGCACGAACAGTGTGGACAGTTCGGGACAAACCAGAGGTAAGTTGAGCACGAACAGTGTGGACAGTTCGGGACAAACCAGAGGTAAGTTGAGCACGAACAGTGTGGACAGTGCGGGACAAACCAGAGGTAAGTTGAGCACGAACAGTGTGGACAGTTCGGGACAAACCAGAGGTAAGTTGAGCACGAACAGTGTGGACAGTTCGGGACAAACCAGAGGTAAGTTGAGCACGAACAGTGTGGACAGTTCGGGACAAACCAGAGGTAAGTTGAGCACGAACAGTGTGGACAGTTCGGGACAAACCAGAGGTAAGTTGAGCACGAACAGTGTGGACAGTTCGGGACAAACCAGAGGTAAGTTGAGCACGAACAGTGTGGACAGTTCGGGACAAACCAGAGGTTTTGACGTGTATGGTGGCTTTTTTTACACTTGTGTATGATAAAACTGCTGTGATGTGTCTCTCCATTCGAAACCACTGCGCACTGTGACGTGTGATGTGTGAAGTGTGACGTGTGACTCAAGTGTGACACGGGGAGTGGTTTTGGAACAAGCGGGTTAATCACCTAATTTACCTTCCAAGTGATATGCTGTAACTATCATTACATTTTAGCTGGTGCTGACTGTTTGCTTGTACTTTAGATGTGGCAACGAAGTTGTAATTTCCTTAGTTGTCATTGAATTACGTGGAGATGTTATTTATAGAGATTAACCACTGTGATGTGTGATGTGTGATGTGTGATGTGTGATGTGTGATGTGTGATGTGTGATGTGTGATGTGTGATGTGTGATGTGTGATGTGTGATGTGTGATGTGTGATGTGTGATGTGTGATGTGTGATGTGTGATGTGTGATGTGTGATGTGTGATGTGTGATGTGTGATGTGTGATGTGTGATGTGTGATGTGTGATGTGTGACGTGTGATGTCATTGAATTACGTGGAGATGTTATTTATAGAGATTAAACTTCCAGAAACATATTGGTGACAAATTGCAGAAATTTCTCGATGTAAAGTAAATCAGTATTAGATTAATATCCGACTGCTATCATTAAATCACAAATATTACCTAAAAATATGTTAACTGAGTGGCGCGACTTTAAGTTTCCTGATGTTGAGCCTGAAACCTAACGCCCCACCTAATTCTAACTTTAAGCCCAGCCCTGGCCCTTACCCTAAACTTAACACCCACCTAATTCTAACTTTAAGCCCAGCCCTGGCCCTTACCCTAAACTTAACACCCACCTAATTCTAACTTTAAGCCCAGCCCTGGCCCTTACCCTAAACTTAACACCCACCTAATTCTAACTTTAAGCCCAGCCCTGGCCCTTACCCTAAACTTAACACCCACCTAATTCTAACTTTAAGCCCAGCCCTGGCCCTTACCCTAAACTTAACACCCGGTCCTTAACCCACATGACTCACCCTTTCTTCACCCTATCAACAAGTACTCAAAATATAAGTTAAAATTCATTAGGACAGGAGTCAGCATCATTTAAAATATAAAAGTGTCTGCTCCTTTATAAAACTCTTTCTTTTTCAGGTCGGCGAGTAAGCGTGTCGATGAAACAACTCAGATCTCTTGTCTCAGGCTCGGGAAAAAGAATGCAATCTGAAGAAGGAACCATACAGGTAGAGATAATCACAGCTCGTAATTAGTAATTAGTAATAACAGGTAGAGATAATCTTAGCTCGTGTTTTTAAACAACAGTCAGAAGTAGTTACCAAATTAAAATTTAAATAACACAACAGAGCATAATAATAATAATTCCTCTCGTTTTATTCATTTTAACCCTGCATTACATTCCACCACAACGTTAATATACCTGTGACAATGTTAATATACCTGTGACCACCAGGTTGAGAGACCGGACTGGGGAATCAACACGGTCACTATCCAGGGAAAGGAACCCATATCCCTCAGAGAGAAGTTCTCTGATTGGCCCGAACCCGGCAGAATGATCAAAATGAAGGGTGGGTGTTGTTATTGTTGAGCTGCTTGCAATGGCATGAATATTAATACCCCGCATAATTTATTCTAGTCAAGCCAGTCTGCATAATTTATTCAAGTCATTCAGATTCAGCTGCGCATGACCGGTAGTTTGGTGTTCCATCTATCCCGGGCACATTTTGAATTGTGATGACATTTTTAATCGCTCAAACAAATTTTCGAAATTAAATAATCGTCGTAGGGCGTAGAGATGGGACACCCTTTCGTAATATCTATTATGGGCCAAGTGGTAAATTCGCTGCTTCTCATGAACTGATGTCATTTCTCCGCAAGTCCTTTACTGATAAAGTCCTGCGGCTCAGCACTTTAAGTTGACGTGTATTTTTATGAAGGAGTAAAGTTGACGTGTCACGTGACGTCTTATCAGAAAGTGATTGGATGATGGTTAACCACATGACTTAACAAAACGACCTGATTGGTTACTGTTATGTCACGTGATAAAGACTAGAATCTGGTGTTTAGTACTTTGTATTAAGTCCTGAATATAACGGAGCAGCTTTTAACTACGCATTAACTTACAAAGGATAAGCAGTCTGAAGATTGACACAATGAATAAATATATTTGCAGACTTAAACGTGATATTTTGAACGTTTATACTTTGTATTCACTAATGTATAATGTATTCACCATGTATTCAATAAATTAATAAGCATCTCCGTAAGATGGTATTTTTTGCTTCTAGCTAATATCAAAATAGCACAATGAAAAAGTAACCGGGATTATTAGCCGGGATTTTTAAAACAGAATTTCGATCTTTATCCAATTTAGCAAATTATTACTTGTGCCACTGTTAAAATGTTCCATTTCAACATAGAAATATCGTGAAAATCCCGGTCCCGGACGGGACAAAATTCCGATCCCGGTCGACCCCCACTAACCACTAACCTCCCCCTCTATTGCAGGCCACGCGGCTAGTGGTGACCAGAACCCAAGCTTACTAGCACCCTCACAACCCCTGGAACCGTACGATGCGGAACTCATGCACAGACCTCAACCAGCGGAGGAGGTGCTGAAACTTGAGTTTACCAAACTCGGTCGGGGCAGAGGTCAGCAGACAATTTAAATGTGATTTATCTCATTTTTGCAATCCTAATGCTTGTGTAATTAGTATGAATTAAGTGTGTCAAGAGTTTGATGGGTAATTGTTATTAATTTGTACGACCGTTTTAGCTACTGTCAACAATTGTCCAGACAGTTATTGTAGACAGCATTTAAAACGGTCAAATTCACGGTTCCTCTTTATCAATTATATTCATATTTTAAACATGAAAATAGAAAATATTTCCCGGTCCTAATTTCGTTGACTCTCTTGCACAAGTTAACTACAAAATGTAAATATCAGCTGTTCTATTAACTAACCACTGAACTAACTAAACACTGAACCCCCTCAGGAACATTCAAATCGTATGACGAGGAGATAACAGTTCTGACAGATGATGTTAAAGTCTGGCTTGTTCACGAGTACAAGAACTACAAGCTCCCTTCCTCGTACAATCAGTAAGTAACGAAACTCATACTTATTACTCATAAGAACTCTGCTTTGGTTATTGTATTTTATTGAGATGGCCCAGGGCCCATATGATACGAATGATCATCCATACATCTATAAAACACTAATTAATTACTAATTACTAATTACTAATACTATTTACTAACTTATCTTAATTACTAATTACTAACTTATCTTAATTACTAATTACTAATTACTAATTACTAATTACTAATTACTAATTACTAACCTACTTAATTACAGCATGCTGTACGCGTCTGAAGGATACGTTGTGAGATGGGAATACCATCTGGAGGTATTTGACGGGTTTGTGAGGAAACACAAGTGTAATCGGTGCGCTTACTATTTCTGGCAGGTTGGTGAAAACTTGTTGTTCTGTGCCCGACTTTCTCTTTCACTTTCTCTTTCTCTTTCACTTTCTCTTTCACTAAATCTAAAAAGTGACTTCATTTTTCTGTCGAATTTGTAAAAATTCAGCATTTCGTGTCTAAAAGGTACCTATTTGGCAGGGTAAAGAGTGTGAAATAAATTCTAAAGGAGCGACTGCTCTGATGACTGTAGAGTTGGACAAAGAGAAGGGTCCCCAGGTCAGAGTGGTTCAGAACAGGGAACCTCCGTCCTTCCTTAACCTTTTTAATGGTAAGTCAGGGGTTTATAATTCTACTGATTAGCACTCATACTTCCTTACTTGGGTTTTCCGTACCTTTTTATTGGATTTATTGGAAAAAGCATTGAAAAAGTATACCTTTTCATTGGACGTTTTTCCTTTTTTATTATAGAACATCTTCAGTCTTCACTCTGTAGTCTCATGTTCTTACACATTATACTATTACAATCTGGCAACTAGTCTTTAATCTGATTCCTTTCACAAATAAATACTAAATAGTTATTAAGTTATATATAATATTGAATAGTTATTAAGTTATACACTATACGAATATTATGTAAATCTATAAAACCCACCTTACAGGTAAACTAGTAGTCCGAACCGACAAACGGCAGATGTTGGGTCGGGAACCTAACCTGGGACGTAGACAGTTCCCCACCAACACGGAGATGTACGTGGTTAGGGGCGAGTGTGCTGAGGAGGGACATCTTCATCAGATCCAGCCTAGGTTAGTTAGTTTCTCTTTCACTTTCTCTTTCTCTTTCTCTTTCTCTTTCTCTTTCACTAACTAGGTTAGTTCTTGTGGGTAGTTAAGTGGGGACATCTTCATCAGATCCAGCCTAGGTTAGTTCTTGTGGGTAGTTGAGGGGGGAAATCTTCATCAGATCCAGCCTAGGTTAGTTCTTGTGGGTAGTTAAGTGGGGACATCTTCATCAGATCCAGCCTAGGTTAGTTCTTGTGGGTAGTTAAGTGGGGACATCTTCATCAGATCCAGCCTAGGTTAGTTCTTGTGGGTAGTTAAGTGGGGACATCTTCATCAGATCCAGCCTAGGTTAGTTCTTGTGGGTAGTTAAGTGGGGACATCTTCATCAGATCCAGCCTAGGTTAGTTCTTGTGGGTAGTTGAGTGGGGACATCTTCATCAGATCCAGCCTAGGTTAGTTCTTGTGGGTAGTTAAGTGGGGACATCTTCATCAGATCCAGCCTAGGTTAGTTCTTGTGGGTAGTTAAGTGGGGACATCTTCATCAGATCCAGCCTAGGTTAGTTCTTGTGGGTAGTTAAGTGGGGACATCTTCATCAGATCCAGCCTAGGTTAGTTCTTGTGGGTAGTTAAGTGGGGACATCTTCATCAGATCCAGCCTAGGTTAGTTCTTGTGGGTAGTTAAGTGGGGACATCTTCATCAGATCCAGCCTAGGTTAGTTCTTGTGGGTAGTTAAGTGGGGACATCTTCATCAGATCCAGCCTAGGTTAGTTCTTGTGGGTAGTTAAGTGGGGACATCTTCATCAGATCCAGCCTAGGTTAGTTCTTGTGGGTAGTTAAGTGGGGACATCTTCATCAGATCCAGCCTAGGTTAGTTCTTGTGGGTAGTTAAGGAGGGACATCTTCATCAGATCCAGCCTAGGTTAGTTCTTGTGGGTAGTTAAGGGGGGACATCTTCATCAGATCCAGCCTAGGTTAGTTCTTGTGGGTAGTTAAGTGGGGACATCTTCATCAGATCCAGCCTAGGTTAGTTCTTGTGGGTAGTTAAGTGGGGACATCTTCATCAGATCCAGCCTAGGTTAGTTCTTGTGGGTAGTTAAGTGGGGACATCTTCATCAGATCCAGCCTAGGTTAGTTCTTGTGGGTAGTTAAGTGGGGACATCTTCATCAGATCCAGCCTAGGTTAGTTCTTGTGGGTAGTTAAGTGGGGACATCTTCATCAGATCCAGCCTAGGTTAGTTCTTGTGGGTAGTTAAGTGGGGACATCTTCATCAGATCCAGCCTAGGTTAGTTCTTGTGGGTAGTTAAGTGGGGACATCTTCATCAGATCCAGCCTAGGTTAGTTCTTGTGGGTAGTTAAGTGGGGACACTTATAGTTTCACTGATGGCTTGCACTTTGTATTTAGTAGTCATATTATCGATCACGTACTGATAGCTTGCACTTTGTATTTAGTAGTCATATTATCGATCACGTACTGATGGTTTGCACTTTGTATTTAGTAGTCATGTTATATATCACGTACGATGAGTACCCTGTGATCGGACTAACAACCTGCGTGTAGAACTAAAACCCAACGTATCATATTTCCTCGATTAAATTAATACTGCTTAAAATCCCATGGATCTGTCTAAAGTATTTAATATATATTATATAATCTAATATATCAGGTTCTATAAATATAACATTAATTATAAGCACTGTGTATCAAAACAATACCCACATTGGAAACGTTATAAGAGAATTCAGCAGTGCGACTGTTGTTCTGATCTAGCAACACATTGCACCAATTCCACCACTTTGCACCTTATTGCACCTCATTGCACCACTTTACGCTAAGTCTCATCACAAAGAGTCTGAGTTAGACTGGGGCTTGTAAGGCTTTTAGTAGGCTTGAGATTTATTGACAGTACTGGTGTTTACTGCAGGTGTTTCAATAATCCCGGACTGTGAAGTAGCACTGTTACTGGAATATTATGTGCTAAACGCTTATTGTTATCGTATTAGACTCTGAGTATACTCATGAAAGTAGAACCAAAACGGATAAAGTGAACCAGTCTGAAGCGGTTAGCGGTGGTTAGGAGCGGTTAGCGGTGGTTAGGAGTGGTTAGAGACCAGCTTAATATCCTGTGGTGATGTTAACCCATGTTGACCCACGTTTCACTGATTGAATCAAGCCCTAAATCCGACCTGTGAAGTTACGACTGGATGATTGCCGCTGTAATCCACCTCAATTATCTCGTTAGAGAGAATAAATGGAATTATGTTTTGTGTGCAATTTGATTAACATGACTGAGTGCTTACAGTATGGACTTTGGTAGGCTTACTTTCTGCCAAAACAGTGACGTGACGGACTAGTTACAGTGTTACAGTTGCTTGGATTAGTTCTGTAAATACTGTTACTTTTCTTAAGTTAATTCACTAATACCAGTTATTTATGTTCTGTGTAAAAGCTGACAATAACTGAAAAACAAATCTGTTATCTGATAAAGGCATCAGTAAGGATTTTTTGTAAAAGTTTAGCAAAGAGACAAACCTAGCCCAAACCCTATTCAGTAAAATGTTTAGACAAACGTGTGGACAAACGAGCTAAATTCTCCGAATATTTTGATCATTCTCTGAATATTTTGATCAGAAAATGTAAAATGTACACTCTTTACACAAGAATTCCTAGTAGTACATAAGAGATCCTCTTCTCTTATAGTCTTATGTCCTAGCGACATGTTTGGACAATAACCTGGTATATATTGAATAGTAACCTGGTATATATTGAATAGTAACCTGGTATTTATTGAACAATAACCTGGTATTTATTGAACAATAACCTGGTATATATTGAATAGTAACCTGGTATTTATTGAACAATAACCTGGTATTTATTGAACAATAACCTGGTATTTATTGAACACCAAGGTTTGATAACCATTATTCCACAGGATGGGATCCCTACGCTCAAGAGGTTGTTTTATCGTGGTGTCACCTGACCAGGCTGTCTACGTTTGGCTCGGAGCCAAGAGCACGCCTCACCAGCGCGAAAACGCTCAGAAAGCTGGAAACGAAATCGAGGACAACTACATCAGTGACAACTTTAGGGTTGTTATGGTAGGTTATATTTAGGTGTCTTATTGTTTTATTTTAGATTAAAATTTAACACTCTAACCTCGTTGTCTAAGTGCAATCTCAAATAATACGATAAATTTGTTTATTTTGCGGCTATAACATTGTACTGGAATCAGATATAATAAAGTAAGATATACAGATATTATAAAGAATAATAACACAAACCTGCTTGTTCAGGTACACGAATCAAAGGAACCCTCCAGTTTCTTCACCAGTCTTGGTCGACACGAGGACTACAGTCCCCTAGTTGGCTCCATTGACTCTCACATCTACACCCCACGTTTATTCCGGTTTGATAGTACCAGTGGGAAGTTCGTGGCGGATGAGATACTGTGTAAATACCGTGTACCTGACCGAGACACCCAGTTCCCCTTCATCCAGGTGAGTTACCACTAGTTACCACTAGTTACCACTAGTTACCACTAGTTACCACTAGTAACCACTAGTAACCACTAGTTACCATAGTTACCACTAGTTAGACACCCAGTTCCCCTTCATCCAGGTGAGTCGTGTGGACTTTTAATTTGTTTTAATATAGTCAAATTCCATTTATATTTGTTAATATTAGTATTATTATTATTTTGACAGTTGCGGTTGTAACTTAAGATTTGAAATTTGCATTCCTTGTATTGCTTTAAGAAGGGGCGCCGGGTGAGAGTGTGTAGTGTGTGTAGTGTAGTGTAGTGAGAGAGATGTTCCAATGTTATAATGTTAGTTCTCTCTTGCTTGATTAGGTCATTTTACTTATTCATCACTTTACTACCGACCAGTGACCATTTGACAAGTCATCAGACGATGAATCATTCGCGTTAAAGCTGAAAATCAAACAATCGTTTAAAAACCATTTTAACAACCTTCGCCCAACTTAAGCATCTGATCTAACACGACTAACTCCCTTCTCACAATCACACATTCCCAAACTTAAATAACTTTTAAAATGAAAGCAACTGAATTTCAGGACGATCTGTACGGATCAAGTCAGCCTGCCCTCTTCCTGTTAGACGCTAAATACCAGCTTTGGTTGTGGCAGGGATGGTTTGAAACTGCGGAGGATTCCGAGAAAGTAACTGGGTCCGCTCGACAGACGTTCGCACGCAACAAGAAGGTTGCTATGGAAACTGTTAACAACTATGTCGATGGTGAGTTTATTTTTAAACCAAAATTTACACATTTGAGTGTTATGCGACAATTTCAATCATTTATACCCAACCTGGCCATATTTTGTTGACTAACAATTCTAATAATGTTTTATGGTTAATATCGTTTAAAAGGTTTTATACAAAAGTAGTGACTCTAATTTTACGTGTGTCACTGTGTCTAGTATAAACATTAAACCTACTTCGCTCAATTGACACTCTCTCAGAGATGATGCTGGCAGAAAACCCCAAAGTGTTCCCGATTGAAGCTGGTTACGAACCCGTTGATTTTATCTCACTTTTCCCGTTCTGGTCGGAAAGAGAGGACGTGAAACGTTACGGCAACAAGGTACGTCTTCAACACTCGTGCCTGAGTATTCTTCCAGCAAATATTTTGCACAATGTCTCGGCGTTGTTTTATGAGTTGATGACACTTAGTTTAGCGCCCGGATAGAAAACGTAAAGTAAGTGAATCGTTCACGGTCTAATTACGCTACTGGCACCTGACGGCACTTATAATTACATAATCTACGTTTCAGGCAATTGTTGAAAAGGGTGCGGGTGGTCGCCGAACATCTATTAACACAGCCTACAAGATGTTAACACGAACAGAATACACGTTGGAGGAGCTCAGGTTGAACCGAAGCCAGAGGGAGTAGATCCCTCAAGACTGGAGGACTATTTGTCAGAGGAGGAATTTATGGTATGTTTACAGACCGCGAAAAGATAGCCCTAATCGTAATCGCAATGCATGATCGTAATTGGAAAAATTCGTGTCTAAAGGCTTATTTGAAAGTGTGTATTAAAAGGAACGCGCCAAGTTTTGTAATGTAAAAAAGTCTTCTATCGTTAGCGCTTATTTATGCGCGCTTCCTACGCGCGCAGCATGTTTATTGTATTTCCCACATATTGTTTAAGAACCACATGTGTATTCCCTTTTTCACATATTGCAATTGTCTGGTAAATATACTGATCTCTAACTACGGACACGTCTTTTCCTGTTTTAGTGTACAATATGCCGGAAACTGCCTGTAACTTTGTCCAATATAATACATTGCACATTCTAATAATCTTTTCCCTTTCAGAAAGTGTTCGAAATGCACAGAGAAGAATTCAAGCTCATCGCTAAATGGAAGCAAGTGGTTATGAAACAGCGCAAGTTACTCTACTGATACCTTGCTCCTTCATAAACATATACTATCTTACTCATGTCTCATTGAATGTTTACTGACTCAGTCAATGGTTTTATAAATCGTAAATTTGATATTGGTTACTGCACTTTTATAATTGATTAGAAAGCTGTGCTTGAATACTATTACAATTGTCATTGAAGTTATTCGTTATGTATTCTGCGATTATTCATATTTAAATTAAATTTTTACTTTTTTCCGTCAAACTTAGCATAAGCTGCCGGTATTGATTTGATTAGTTTATTATACTCTGTTTCGTTTATCTATTGTGTTATCCGTAACCATTTTTTCTTTTCTACCATTATTTTGTGACCTAGAAAACCTTTTATTTATCGAAAAATCTAACTTATATTGTGTAAATAGTTTTCTACTTAACGTTTGATATCCAGAAGAGTAGGACTGACTCTCGAGATTATAAATAAACGATTGTTAATTTGGATACCCCCTTTACTTCAAGATATAGCTATTAAAGGTATTTCTTAATTGTCCGAAAGAAATTCTACGTAGCAGACATCATTTTAAAGCTGAAGAATATATACATGTTTGAGTTTTTAGAGGATGAAATAAAATATGAAATAAAGTGATCATTGACAGTTTTTCATTACTGTTTAAACCAAAATTATCGCATTTTCTTTGTCAAAACATTTAGTAAATCAAAATGTCGATGAATACTTCAACCCACAGTTAAAAGATCCTAACTTGTGAGGATTGCTTGCGGAGTACTCCATCTCAATTCTTAGTACACAGTAAAGTATTTGATTTCTGGGGTGGTCACACGATATTTGGCCCCGTCATGTCTTAACAAAGCTGGACATAACATCCTGTTCAGTGTTGGTTCACGGTCCGGCTCACACAGACTTTACCCACGCTTGTCAATATTTAATGAAAGTTTGAAGAAATAGACTAAACAATAAACATGAACATGTTACTACCATACAAAAACATCCGAACACAATGCAGTTGCCACGAAAACAAAACAAATAACAATAACATGGTTTTTGTTTTTGAAAAAATGAGTGCCATATAAGTTTTTCTTCCCCATTTCCATCAGCAGCTTTGTTATTTTTCTAATAGAACTTGGACAAGAAAATCTACAGCGAGTTATGCAGATGTCCATACATCTGCTGATAATGATGGTGCTGGTAGCTGGCAAGACTCGAGGTGATCAGCTATTCTCTCCTTTTGATCATGGGGTAATTGGAAAAGTATCTGAACAGTTTCTACAGGATCTGGCAGACGAGATAGCCACAATGATTTCAGATCTAATGCAGGTAAGATATTCAACGTTTATAACACTAATTGTAATTATAAACACTATAAATAGACGAGTTCTTTGTCACAGTTTTGCTGCGTCTCGGGTTAATCATTGGGCAAAATAATCATTTTTGTAAAATATAAATATAATACGCTTTCGGTTGTAAATTTTGTTATCAATCCACTATACGTCTGGTTATGAAATAAAGTAACATATTCTTCAGGGAGAATCACTCAGTGGAAGTGACTGTAGTGGTGTGGACGCGTGTGACTACGATATAAACGTAGGCTCACTGAATCGCAGTCCTAATATCAATCTTAAACACGATGGAAGCGATGGACCTGTTGGACAGCTTGTTGTAGACGCAAGTATTGGCGGGTCAATTGAAGCGTCCGGAAGCTGGAGCGTGGAGAAGAAGATATGGTTTAAAACTTTCTCTTTAGCAGGGCATGTGGATATCCTCGCTACCGAGTTCAGTCTGGAAAACCGCGTTATTCTCGGACGCAAGTCAAACGGACAAATTGGATTTTCCCGTGGCCTGGACACCTGTAAAGCAAACGCAGGATCTCTTAACATTAAGATCAGCGGTTCTTGGCTCAGCTGGCTACTCAACGTTCTTTCTCAGGTCTTGTCAGGTTAGTTACCACTAGTAACCACTAGTTACCATAGTTACCACTAGTTACCATAGTTACCACTAGTTACTACTAGTTACCACTAGTTACCACTAGTTACCACTAGTTACCATAGTTACCATAGTTACCACTAGTTACCACTAGTTACCACTAGTTACCACTAGTTACCACTAGTTAACATAGTTACCATAGTAACCACTAGTTACCACTAGTTACCAATAGTTACCATAGTTACCACTAGTTACCACTAGTTACCATAGTTACCACTAGTTACCATAGTTACCATAGTTACCACTATCTGTCAGGCCAGGTGGAGAGTTTCTTGGAGGAATTAGCTTGCGAGGAAGCTAACGAGGCTATCGATGAAGCTCTACAAAAGTTTGAAGAGACTGTGTTTAACAAGGACCTCTCGCTGAATCTAACATCGGGAGGAGAGTTGAAGCTGGATTTCCATCCCTCTCTTATCACAGGAGGGGACGAATGTGCTGTCATTGTCGCACCAGTGCCAATTGAAATGATCGGCCAACCGAAGCCTTCCGAAACAGTGACGCCACCGTTCATCAACATTCCGGCTGACGTGGACGAGATAGAAGAAGTTGAAGAACTCAGAAGAAAGAGAGAGGTTAACCAAGACTGGTGTGACGTGGTTCCAGGCTCAAACAGCGGGGTTTCTGTTATAGTAACAGAGAATATGATCTCTAGAATAATCCAAAGTTTGCATCTTTTTGATTTGATGAAGTTCAGTTTGAAGGAGAGTGGCAGTTTTGGCAGCAAGAGGAGGTTTGATGTGTTTCGTGGTGGACAACACTTAAGCACGTTTAATGTGGAACTTCCGGACGAAGTTCAGGAGTTGGCTGCCTTTACTGTAACTGATATGAAAATAAGCAGTACCTCAATACCTGAGGTTCAAATCACTAGCAGCGGAGTTTCTACCACAGTCAACCTCAGAGCAAGAATGATTTTGTCCAATGAATCCCCACAAGTCGAGATGAGAACGGAATTCGAATCCAAAGCTAATTTTAAAGGAACCGTCAAATTAGCTAAAAGAGATGGACGATACCTATTGCTGCCACAAGTAACTGCGAATGTTGACGTTTGGACAGGGAAATTGTATGTTGAATCTGAAGATGGTCAGGACTTCAAGGAGTTAGACGACGGCGACGAATTGTTGGAGGTCATTGAGCATCTTTTAAATGCTGCGATAGAGGAAAGCCTGGCAAAGCTGTTGGAAGAAGAAGTGAAAGACGGCATTCCGATAAATATACCAAGCGGGTTACTGTCTATTGGAGAGGCTGAGATCATTTACCAGGAAGACTACATCCTGATCAACGCCGATGACATTAGTATCAAACTTGAGTAATTTAGGTAATTTAGGTTCTGGTTAATTACCTACTTTATTAGTTATTTACTTATTGTACTATGGACAAAAGTCGATTTTTAGACTAAAAGACACTGCATTTAAAACATTTGATTACAAGGTTGAACAGTTTAGTTTCGAATCTTATCAGACTAGCAATTTTTTGTTATTTACACATGTATCAATAAATACAAAATTTAATTAAGCTAAACCAACTAAAATCTAAAACGTCTTATACTCACACAAATAACTTAAAGTTAACAAAAGAAAAATTATTCATCTTAAACCACCAGCATTTAAAATATTGAGATCAATTTTTGGAACGAATAAATTCTCTTCAACCAGATGAATAGAAAATATTTGATACTTCGTCACATTAATCTTGACCTGTTAAAAAACAATAATATTCAAATCTAAAGCGGTTCACCGCATTATGGAAATTACAGCAAGCATCAGCAAGTAATGGAACGGACGTAGACTCGGACATGGTAGAGGTTGTGAACTAGGTCGAAATGTATGATGCTAACTTGGGAAATAGCTTTCAAAGTTGTAAGAAAATCAGTGTGGTAAAACTATGCTGCATTAGATTTTGTCTTTCATAAACAAGATAATTCTTAAGAACGTAGATTATGATTTTGACGCATGTTCGTTCTTGTCTCTGAATAAAATTCTCATTTCCAAACCGTGTTACTGTTGGCCTGTTGGCGTATAAGCGTCCTTCTGACATAATATATGGTTATTGGCTGACGCTGACCCAATGTATGACTGCAAATCAAATTTAATAAAAATTCTCGACTACTCGATCTTCGTGTAGTTAGTTTCTGCTTCGATTATTTCCATCTCTTCGGGCTTTGGTTTTATTTTGTAGAGATTGGCGGCGTTTCTCCTAGCTGCCAAGATGTATATAGATTGGTCTCTTAAAAACTGAGACCAGCTCACAGTCCTGAAGGGTTCATTTTTAGATGTTTTCTTTATTCTTTGAAAAAGCAATTCTAAGCAATAGGGTCAATCTTAAATAGTGCCATAAAATTAAAGTCATCTGACTATCTGATAAGGGGTCGTTCACATTGCATATTACTTTATCACTTTTTGTTTTAAAAAAGTGATAAAGTCTTGTCTTTATCCATCCCCCCTCCGTAATCAGTTTTACACAGCTATTGTATCAACATAAAAAGATAAAAATGCGTGGTTATTATTGAAACAAATGACTTGTCTTCGCATAAACTCATTCAACGTTGTTCAAGATAGTTCAAACAGTCGTATTACCCGTGCTTTTTTTCATCGGCTTCCATGAATATCTTTACGTTTACTTTGACATGCTCGCCGACTCTTTTTGTCAACTCGGGATTTTTCTTTGGACCAGTCGTCGAATCCGAGCAACTGAATTATTATATATTACAAAGCGTTTATATTTCATGACGAATATCAAACAATGCGTGCCATAATGTTTTGACTCTTGAGCGATATATTAGGCCAATGTAGTTTCTAAACTACCTATACCACTCATGTTATTGTCCATGATAGCAACAAGATTGAACAGGGACAAAAGGAAATCGCGGCATGTACGGAATCGCGATTTTTCCCATTATTTGCGTTAAATTTTATGTATAGTTTAATGTATAGTCGTTAAAATTCGCGGTATCGCAATTTTTGGCCAAAATAATCGCGAAATCCTTTTGTCCATGAGATTGAATGATCGGCAGACGTAGACGAGTTTTGGGATGGACTCACTTAAGCACTTTTGACCACAAGCTAGCAAACCAGCGTTCGTACGCTTTCTCAGCCTCCCGAAGAGTTATCTTGCCGTCACTGTCTGCATCGAATGATCGGAAGAACATTTTAGCCTCCGATATCTCGAACGGGGTGAGGCATGCAACTAGCTCTGACTGAGGTATTTTTAGTGGTTTAGGTGACGTGGAGTAGGTATCTTTCCACTGAAAACCATAAAATCATTCAGATAGAAAATAGTTCGAGCTACTGGTGATTTGGGTGGATTGCACGGTAAAAATAGTTCACCTTGGGTCTGTCGCTAAGTTTTTCAACTATTCGACTGTCGACAAAACTCCACCAATCGACTTCTCCCGTGTTGGGTTTGTCAAGTCGTCGGAACTGTGGGTGAGTTTTGGTTAAGCACATAGTTACCACTAGTTACCACTAGTTACCATAACTGTGGGTGAGTTTTGGTTAAGCACATAGTTACCACTAGTTACCACTAGTTACCATAACTGTGGGTGAGTTTTGGTTAAGCACAAGATAACATTGTCGAGGTTCATTGCGAAACTCAGGTCAGATTTTAGTTGTGTAATTTGACTGTGAGGTTTCAAACGAATATACCACAACAAAATCAGTCGATCTAATTAAAGTCTTAATTCTATACCCGCAATCACCTCTTCAACCGATCCCTCAACTTCATGTAAATCCATAGCTCTTTTGTACTTGTCTTTAAAGATTTTGTGCTTATATTTCAAAAAGTCGTCCAATGATATTCTCGAATCTGAGATTATATATTTTCAGTTCTGTTGTATCATGTTTTTATCAACTTTTAAAACAACTACACAAACTTTTCGTACAATAAAATCACGTATAAAAGTTGATATTTTACTGACCAATGGCGACCACAAAACCGTACACATATATTTAAAGCATGACCATTATAATTTTATATCTTAGGAATATTTTTAGATTGTTGTTTACCAATTTACTATGCATCATTATAATAGACTCATTGAAGAATGGGTATTGTAATCAAGCAAATACGAGTGTGGGAATCAAGCAGTATCGGCTAAGTCAGCGATGCAGATTTAATCATTAATATTTTTACAATATGCATGCGTAAAACCTTACCGCAATCGACATCGAGATCATCAAAACTCTCCATTAGTTCGATCATCTCTTCATCTGTCAAGAGACCGAGCAGATTTTCGCAATCTGGGCACGACCACACAAAGTCTGTCATAAAACACCTGCCGGTAAAAATCATGAAGTTTGAGTTGAGAATTTAGCCTATGAAATTCCTTCAAATACAGTTTATAGTCACTAGTCAAGTCAGTCAAAAACAATGACGACGTTTCATTTTATCTGATAAGATGAAACGTCGTTTTTGTTTGTGACTGACTTGACTAGTGACTGATAAGTTATCAGTTCTCGAAATTATCTAGAAAGTCTTGATCAATCAATTGAAATTCAGCTCTGATGCCAATCTAGAAATAAAGACCTGAGGGAAGTTGCCGTGACGATTAAGTCCCCATTCGTCTCATTGAAAACGCATTTTGGGGTATGTATCGACTTTCCACATACTCTGCATTCAATGAGCCTTAAAAATCCCTCTCCACATTGGTAACAGGTCGCCGTATCATCTTCACCGACATCCTGCAAAACAGACAAAAAATATTTATCCCAACCTAACAGAATCCTGGAGAGATAGCATAAAATGTACAAATGATAAACTACAAAACGACCCTAGGGCCTAGTTTGATGACTTGAACAACTCACACCATGATTGTGGTCAGTAGTTTCATCCCACGATGGGCATGCGTCACTTTGAGCTGTGTTGGGGCGAGGGGTCTTTGCTCTGAGCCAGGCGTCTACAAGTTTTCTATCAGACTCCTTGAGTATAAAACTGTTAATAACGAATTGATTTAAAATTATATCTAATTGGCTAATATATGTAGCTATTGAAAGCAAAACGTTGACAAAATTTATAAACTGATCCAGAGTTCTTGCTAGTACACTCAGGTAAACTATGTAGTGTGGATAAGATCTTCACGTTTCTTAGAAATTGTCTGAAAGATGGCATCTTCTTTAAGTTTAAGTACCTTTTTAGCGACAATGGTGGTCTTTTTAATTTTTCTCGTACAGGGAGTTTTTCCATCCTGAAATTGAATCTGATAAAATTGAACTTCAAAGCTATATAAATGTAAATGACCATGTGCTTCAATTAATTGTATCTTAATCAATATATAATGTTGGCTCCTCTCAAGTCTTACTTCCTTATTAGTATTACCCGTCCTATGTAAGGTTCGCAAATCTGACTTTCTGTATCTGCATACTGTTCAAGCTTTGTCCAAGCTGCCACAGTGTCGTTGTAGATAAAGATATGCTCAGTGCCCCACGAGACCTCGGCCGTTCCGTCCCTGTGACTAAAAATTTGAATTTGAACTTCTATAATAGGAATTAGTAACTTACTATTTGATGTTTTGTCTTTGGTATGGCGAGTGAATGTGGTGAATGCAGCACTTGGTTATTGTTAGGTACAGATTCTAGTTCTGATTGACTGAAATGCGTGTGGGGTATGGCAAAGGATAGTAAACTTTCCTGACTGGTTGATGGAAACGGGGCAGAAAAATCTGCTCTATGAGTATGACTGCAAGTCCCGAGCAAGTCCCATACGCTCATCGGGTGACATAAACGAGATCTATGCAAACAAACGATTATTATAAGAGATTTTTTAATTTAATTCTAGGTTTTTTCTACTACGAAACTATAACTACAAATTAAACATATCGATGGTTAGGTAACGCACGACAAATGTATGGATGTATGAATGAAGCAAACAAGATAATTAAATTCATACAACATAGTTTTATTGGTTAAATTTAAATAAGTTCGATTTTCTTGCTGTTTTATGAAAATCAAGATTTAAGATGCTAAAATAGTAGCTCTGAATCAACATAAAAACGGCACTTTAACAAACACTTTATTGTGCTTTCGAATTAACATGAGCCATACTCCTTTATAAATATTTCGTTTCTTCTACGTATTATAGTTATAAAATATGCATACTTGGATTTGTGTTTAGGTTCATCTCCCGCTGTCACCGCTGCTTTTCTTTTCGCTAATTTTCGATCTTCTAATTCTGCAGCAGATAGAAAATCCTGTAAAGAGAAATTACTAGAGTTGAGCTTACGATGATACCAAAAACAGTTTTACTCATTTAACCGATTCGAAATAATAATAATTCGAAATGAGATCGAGATATTGGCGGCATCATTTGGTGGTTATATTCGAAAACAAGTAAGTTTAATTAGGCCTAAGTTTTCATGGCAAAAAATTTAGTAAATTTAATGGTAATTGAATATAAGTATAGCTCTACCATCTACCTTCGAATCAAATGACTCTTAAATAAATAATTGATGGTATAACAGCTCACCATATCTAATCACAACCCAAAGTTTTTCGGTGGATATTTAAGTGATAACAGGGATGAGTATCAAAACCTTTTCGAAGAACATTTAAAAATAACCTTTGTTTTTCCTGCTTCATAATCTTGCTTCGACCAGACACACAATCTGTTGATTTCTCTGACCCCTCAACATTTACCATATTGATTAAAGTACCCTGTGACTAGTGCTAATAGTAATCATAAATAGCTAGCTTTAATGATTTTAAATGTGATGAGAGGTCAATACCTAACGATCAACGCCCATCTGTGCTAATTTTTGGCATCATTAAATTCGTCAAAACGATGAAAATATTCTAACGTGATATTCCAAACAGCAATTAATTACTCTTCACACGGGTTCATCATTCCCGTTGCACATTCTTAAAATTATTTGGCCATGTCAAATATAAGCATACAATTTATCAAAATCATCGAAGCTATATTGAATTCCTCAGCTCAACAGATTTCGTTACAAACGACAACGAAAAATCGACAATATTAACAATGCTCTTAAGATGTCCAATCTGGATCGGCTATTTTTGCAAGTTACGTGGTCACAACCTTTACAACATTGTATAACAATGCGCCACATGATATGCAATATGTGATAATATCTAATGATATCTCGACACGTGTTTCACGCGGATCGACTTTGTCTATGACAATACTATAAGCTTAGATTGTAACTGAATCTTTTAGTTAGAAATGTGCCAAAGCAGTAAAATGGGCCACATCAACTTAACAGCAAACGTGATATCTTTGATCAGTTTTAACTCGGCAAACCGACTCTTCGAGTATACTGATACGTAAATTGTAGAATAAAGTTGAGTCGATCGCAAGCATAAAAGTTACCATGCAGATCACTGAGATCAATACAGAGCTCAAAAACGAACTGTGTTAAAAATATTCCATCGTCATTCAATTTGAATGCAACCAGCAAAAACTCATATATTTGTTCATTATTTAATCAGCTTATATTTACTTTTAGATATGACGAACGCGAATGATCTCTTATATATTTCTGAAAAAAATGATGTGTTCGTTGCTTTTTTTGGATAAATTTCAAGCTGTGTTGAGTCAGGTTGAGCGTAATTTCGAACATTTTAAATGATTCTCTACTATTCAGAATGCTCAATGTACCAACCCTGGGAAGATGAAGAGCTTTTTTCCTGTTATCCATATCGATGAACTCCGTGATAAAGAATTTATTAGCAGGGTGTGTTCGAGACCGGCCAGCATGAAAATGCTGGATTTTACCCCCGTTAAAAACTGGAGGCCCGTAGGAACCATTCGACCTTTGAGGACGAAACCCGCTCATAACACTCGAACTATAAGCCACAGAAAACAAACAGCACAGAGGGAACCGAAATGTATAGCCGTAAATCTAAAAGACACACTGATTCGATTTAAAGCTCCGTTGAGATCTTTAGTGCATACGATATTTGAACTGGTCAGTGAAGAAATTCTTGTTAAGTCGTGTCCTATCACACAATGCGAGACTCGCGTGAATGCATTGACGAACACCAACCTTATTTAACAGTCTGATAAGCAGTGTACGCTCCGGCTGAGTAATTTGGAGGTGATAAGTTTTAAAGATCTTTTATTCGATCTTATTATTGATTGACGGTAGGTTATGGCTGTTAAAGTGTCGCAAACGAGTACGAATATATTGACCACTGTGTCTGTTGACCCGCTGTGTCTGTGATAAAATGAGATAGTTATTAAATTAATTTTATGTTAAGTAATGTTTGATATTTATTGCATGCACAAGATCAAAGATGTATTCGATCCAAATTGAAATATGATATATGTATTTACAGCGTAATGATTCAATAATTCGATTCATGATAATTTCATGAACTGGAAGCCTTGTGAAATAACAGAATGTTTCTGTACTTTTAACTCGAAGTCAAATTCCTCAAGGATTTCAATAATTTGTCGGTATGTCAGATGGATAATGAATTTATAAATTAATTTATAATTCTTACTGTGCAGAATTCATTTGATATTTATAAAAATACTATTTATACTTGTTATTTTAACTCGAAAATAATGATTGTCTGCGTATTTTAATTGTATCACTATTCAAAGAAACGTACGTTAATGTATTTACAGTCCATTTACCCCATATTTCAAACTAGTGACTATATATTAATCAATGCACTACCGATATTCATATAGAACCATTTACATACAGGCTCATATTTTTTTCGTGCTGGATACGGGGGGGGGGGGGGGGGGGGGGGGGGGGGTGGGGGGAAGAGGGGCTCCCTGTATCGTGGAGAGCAACTGAAGGCTGTGAATGGGGAGCTTACAACTAACTCCCCCTCTTCTTGACTTGTGATAAGCTTTCTAAAAACCCCACTGAAGTCCGAAAATGAAGTACTGGAAAGGTACAAGTGATACGAATAGAGGCAAAAGTCAGGTTACTGTTAGGTTCATGGTGTTCAGGGACAAAAGGAAATCGCGTCGTGTACGGAATCGCGATTTTTCCCATTATTTGCGACAAATTTTATGTATAGTTTAATGTATAGTCTGTTAAAAATCGCGGTATCGCGATTTTTGGCCAAAATAATCGCGAAATCCTTTTGTCCCTGATGGTGTTACAATGCTGAGGATACGGATCCAAGTCAGGAACTTTGTGATATATCTGTGACGAGCTACTACCATGAAATCTCTTCGCCTCCTTTCTAATCGTAAAGTTGGATAATCGAAATAAATAGAATGTTTGTCATTTTCTCCACAGAAACGTCTCGAATTATAAAATATAACTTATACACCATTGAATAGCGACTATCAGTCAACAAGCTCCAATATAACAAAGAAAATACACTCAGCAGTTTTTTAAAGGCTTTGATTATCAAAATTAAAGGATAATAAATGACAAATCAACAATAAAATTTGTAGCCTATGCCCAGTTAATAAGTAGGAATAAATGTTTACAAATACCATAAAAAACTGACAAGAAAACTGACAAGCTGATAAGAAAGAATTTCAGCGGACAATTATCAAACTAAACCGAAGCACACCGTGATGATACTATACTGTTAGTTGCTACATGGTGTAATACTACTGAGTCTTAACAAGACAAGCGGCGGCTAACAAAGGATTTTCAAAGCGCTATTATCCGACAAGCAGTGTTATTGGGCCGATTTCAAAGGGTCTTTGGTTCTTATTGACTGTAGAATCTGATCTACAAAAACAGTACAACATATTATAAGCTATTGTCACTGTTTCTTCAGGTCGTTAAGTTACCGCTTAAACGAATATTTGGTCAGAAATAGAAACATGATACGGGGTCCGTCTCTGGAATTTAAAAATACCGAAATTCCAGCATTTCTGTCTCCTCTGAAATTCTAGAAATATTTTAATTGAGGTAATTAATTAATAATTAGGGTAATTAATTAATTAATTAATTAATTACCTCTATTCTTATGACCCCGATTGAAGTCCGGGGAGGCGGGTTATCGGCTACCTTTAAAGCAAGCCTAGCAGCTGTTGCGATGTCACTGTTCTTTACAGGATACGATACGACTGTTCCCATAGCAACTGCCCATTAGCTTGCTGAAACAATCAATTTAATATCATTTTTACATCAAGTAAAAATAGAGCATGTAGTAAAATGATAACAAAATGTATTAATTAATTTACAAACGAAATTGCACAAGAAAAATAAACGATAACGTATCTGTAAAATCCGTAAAGCGGGCCGAAATGTTAAAATTTAAAAAGTAGTCTAGTCGTCCTCTTTTCTATTGGCCGATTTGCTGACGATGCTTGGCAAAATATAATTCATGTTTTGACTTAGTTATTCGATGGAAAAGTTATCGGAATGTAAAATATGAATTGAATCTAGCTGCAATATGAGTAAAATTAGTATCGAACAAAGTTGGATGAATTTTGTGAATTAATAAAAGTTGCTGTTATCATCTTCAAGAAAAACTGTTGAAACATCAATGATCAGAATGTGACACGACATCAAATGTGATGATTCATAATTCATGACAAAATTTTAACTCGTGGGGTAGTTATGCACTCAAAATTGCTCTCATTGCATAGAAAGGAATCTTGAAGATCGGCGATCAAAAAATATAGAAATATGAGACGATCAATTATCCAGTATTTAGAAATGCAGCTGCTTCAAATTATAATAGCATCACTGATCAGGGTGGCAAACTGACAAATTTCTTAACTTAAAGATCAAAATTATGATCATCTACTATATAATTCCAAAATACTAACTGTAACCAAGAAGTAGCCAACGTCGGCTAATTTTAACTTCGGCTTAAGTTGGTTTAAGACTTACAGAAATTCAGTTTAAAGACACATGATTACAGTCAAGATGGATCGATTTACCAATTTCGGTAACCAATTATTGAAAATATCTGTCGTCAATTGCATACAGAGCCTATAATTAGGAACAATTAGGAACAATTGTAGGCGCCCACGAACGAACTCATAATCCCTTCACTGCAAATGTAAGTCTACCAATTTTCCTTTATCAAAACAAAACACAATCCTAATAAGTGTTTGAAAAAAAAGTTAAAAATATAATAAGTGCTTATTATAAACACTAAAGAGATTCAGCCCTTGGGGTAAAACTTTAAAGACTTTTAAGCCACAACATGAGTGTTTTAGGCCGGACATTCAATCGTGAATCGTCTAAAAAAGCATGCCTATATCAATGTGGTGAAGATTACTTATAACAAGAACCGATCTTGTGGTTAAAATGGCGCTCTATGGCTATTTTCGAACAAGTTGATTTTCCAGAGTTAAAATCAGATGAATATGATGCACTGAGCACTCCAAAGATGTAGTAACTAAGTAAGTAAAGATGAATATCGTGAAGGTCAATAAAAGAGCCGCACGAGATGATAGAAATAGAATGCACTATATAAACATACCAGACACAAATCTGCGATTTAATTATAATGTTATGTGACAGTCGCGAGACAGTCGCGAGACAAGGATGGATCAGGCACACGTGCAATTGATTTCCATAAACTTCCCACAAAATGCAAGCAAAATTAAAACAAATGCCGTTTAAAATGCCCGTATCAGCATAAAAATCATTATTAATGTAACAAAAGCGGTTTTTAAATAAATGAACAACGTTTTCAAACTGTACGTAGCTCAGACTTTGGTCGCTACTTATCAAATCAGAGAGTTTGTTGAAATTTTAAAAGGTGCCAGCAAGAAACTAAGTGGTCTGATACAACTCTTTCCTATCACATCAATATGCCGTTCACAATAACCAGTTTACGTTACCATGCAAACTTTTAAATTATTATTATTATTCGTGACCATTTATTAACCGCACAATCCGAATTTACTAATTTGATCGTAAGAAACGGGCGAGAAATTAAAATGGATCTGTCTTGGAGGACAAAATCGTGTAATAAAATTTACAATATTGCCGATTAAGTTTTTAAATTTGATAAGTGGTTAAACTTTCCGGAATGATCTCGCAGCAACACTGTGCATATCATTGTCAGATCATGCGTGAATTAATAATGGATAATTGACCTATGAGTTTCTCCTCACGTGTAAGTGTTTGAGTGTCTGAGCAAAATTTGCAAATCTTTTCTACGAATACGATTAAATGACCATCATTTTAAACTAACGAATAGATAGTTTGTCTGATATTTTTATTGGCCCCTCCCCTCCCCTCCCCTCCCCTCCCCTCCCCTCCCCTCCCCTCCCCTCCCCTCCCCTCCCCTCCCCTCCCCTCCCCTCCCCTCCCCTCCCCTCCCCTCCCCTCCCCTCCCCTCCCCTCCCCTCCCCTCCCCTCCCCTCCCCTCCCCTCCCCTCCCCTCCCCTCCCCTCCCCTCCCCTCCCCTCCCCTCCCCTCCCCTCCCCTCCCCTCCCCTCTCCCCTCTTCCCCCTCCCCCCTCTTCCTCTCCCCTCTTTCACTCCCTCTCCCCTCTCCTCTCCCCTTTTCTCTCCCCTCTCCTCCCCTCTCCCACCCTCCCCCCTCTCCCCCTTCCTCCCTTTCCCTCCCTCCCTATAACTATACAAGCCTCTTAATATAATAGCAAGGAAACTGAAGTATATATATTATGATATATGAAATATATTGAAATAGCTATAAAACTGTCGTTCTTTAAAAATATGTAGTAACTCAACTAACTGAACTAATTAGTAATTAAAGGTTAGGTAATATATAATAGGTCTTGACATTCTGTGTTTTTCAGGAAGCCTCACTACAGAGTTGCAATTATAAGTAGAAATGGCTAATGGTTGGGTAACCATACTTATCGTATATAGGTTATCATAGAATTATTATAAGCAGAAGGATCGGAAACAAATCATAATCTTAGGGGACTAATTAAAGGGGGCTAATTAATTAAGGGGGGTATTAAAGGTCCCCCTCCCTCCCCCTCTCCCTCTCCCCACTTTAAGGTTAGATAATATATAGGTAAGGTAATGATCGGTCTTGAAATTATGTAGTTATACTTCCTGAAAAGCACGAGCTTTTCAGGAAATATGACTACAGAGTTAAGATGGTATCAGTTATGCCAAATTTCAGGGGAGGTCCAAGTTTACCAGAAGAAATTACTAGAGGCATGATTAGTGGCAGGAAAGTTGGAAGTTAGAATGTAATGGCTTAACTTAACTGTAAACAAGCTTAACTAAAAGAGTTTAGGTCTTAACTACGAGGAAGCTCAACTAAAGGTTTTAACAGAAATACTGAGTATAATCGAGATGAATGTTAAACAGCTGCAGCAATGCTCAAATTCACGTTACGTGGATATCGATAGATATTAGATATGACTTAAAATATCTGAAAACTCTTCAATACTTGTGCCTGATAAAATTACTGAACCGACTAGCATTATTCTAATTCTTTCCCCATATTCAGCTATACAATCAGGTTAATGCCATCTCTATTATATATGAGACTTCTTATTGGGGGGGGGGGGGGGGGGGGGCTTCTTATTCGTTACAGTTTGAAGGAAAATAGATATGAGACTGGTCTTGGTATAGTGCTGCCATGGCCAACAATTGTACCCGCCAGTTCCCACACTAACAGGTTCCCAACCAGTGACATGATCTGACTCGTCATGTCAATAAATTTCTCTTCAAAACTGAGTGCATCAGCTCATCCCAAGATTGAGTCGGTATTAGTTGTCCTTCATATTGGAACAGCTGAAGTGTTACTAAATATATAACGGTAAACCAAGATAAACTTCCTCCTCTTCGCTTAAAAATTATAAAAAGCACAAGCTCCAAAAACACGTACCAACTGGAAGCAACTTTCACAGCCGAAACAATGGTTAGAACTACTCAACCAAAACATGCTATAACACAGCCGAAACAATGGTTAGAACTACTCAACCAAAACATGCTATATATAAACAAGCAAGAAATACTAACACCGTAACCAGAGACAGAGTTTAGCTAGCAATCCATAGCAATGTATCCAAGACAAAATAAAGGGCCGAGGATCGCGGTAACATACTTCAAAGCACGATCCGCCCTAAACACAATTAAGAGTCGAGCCTTGGATATGAATTATATTCGGTGATTTCACATTTTAAGATTTGTATTACATATGTAATGAGCGTCTCGTCCATTACTTTTCATCTGTTCATGGGCAGTTCAGGTCATAAGTATTGAGCTTGATGATAAGAAGCTATGTGGTGCTTTCATTGCTTGAAAATAGTGTAGCTCTATAACGGGCGAGGTCACGTGTGAGGTGCAACTACAGGTAACTAGTAAATCAGTATTCCTATAGTGCAACTACAGGTAACTAGTAAATCAGTATTCCTATAGTGCAACTACAGGTAACTAGTAAATCAGTATTCCTATAGTTTAGCATGGTTGAGAGAACAGAGAGGATAGAAATACCATTTAAATGATAACTTGGTAATTTGATAATTTGATAATTTGTGAGACTATTTGTAACAGAAGGGAGGAATTATAAATACCATCGTATTTAGATGATGCTAACCCAAACTGGTCAACAGAGTTACAAAATAGCAACCATTATGTTGAGTTTAGCAATGCATAGTAATACTAAAATAACTTCTGCAGAACAACAAAATAGCACGACGATACACTGAACTCCTAAAAATATAAAACGTTTACAACAATTTAACTCCCTGTCCAGATTCTCTTTAACTAGGAACAAGATCCACGTGTCCAGGGTAACCAGGGTAACCAGGGTAACCAAGTGTCCAGTGTTACCAGGGTAACCACGTGTCCAGAATAACCAAGTGTCCAGTGTTACCAGGGTAACCACGTGTCCAGAATAACCACGTGTCCAGGGTAACCAGGGTAACCACGTGTCCAGGGTAACCAGGGTAACCACGTGTCCAGGGTAACCACGTGTCCAGGGTAACCAGGGTAACCAGGGTAACCACGTGTCCAGGGTAACCAGGGTAACCACGTGTCCAGGGTAACCAGGTGTCCAGGGTAACCAGAGTAACCAGGGTTACCAGGGTAACCACGTGTCCAGGGTAACCAGGGTAACCACGTGTCCAGTGTAACCACGTGTCCAGGGTAACCAGGGTAACCAGGGTAACCACGTGTCCAGGGTAACCAGGGTAACCACGTGTCCAGTGTAACCACGTGTCCAGGGTAACCAGGGTAACCAGGGTAACCACGTGTCCAGGGTAACCAGGGTAACCACGTGTCCAGGGTAACCAGAGTAACCAGGGTAACCACGTGTCCAGGGTAACCAGGGTAACCACGTGTCCAGGGTAACCAGGTGTCCAGGGTAACCAGAGTAACCAGGGTTATCAGGGTAACCACGTGTCCAGGGTTACCAGGGTAACCAGGGTAACCACGTGTCCAGGGTTACCAGGGTAACCAGGGTAACCACGTGTCCAGGGTTACCAGGGTAACCAGAGTAACCAGGGTAACCAGGGTAACCACGTGTCCAGGGTAACCTAAACACTACGGACACAAACCAACACCACATACACTACCGCAGTGTTGGCATCAATTTATCATACTTGCAACTCTGAGATACCACGTGACATCAGTCTTCACGCTAAAAGTCACGTGACCAACCTTCACGCTACAGGTCCAGAGACCGGACAAGCTGCCAGCTAGGACAGGGCACGTGTTTATTGGCTGATAATGGCAGTGTTATTCCTCTACCTGGGAAGTTTACGTAATGGCCAGACTGGTCCTCAGAGCTTCACGGAACGCGGGAGCACATTTAGGCCGGGTTGTGTCCACAGTGGCTTAGTTGGTTAATCTGTTTGTCTGCTGGCCCCTGACGTTGCGAGTTCGAATCCCAGTTGGGCCAAGATTTCAAAATTGATGGGAATCCGTCACTCACCAAACCATGGTGTGAATGGTAGTGGCTCTCATTGGAGCTGCGAAAATAACACGAGTGCATAATGCATATGCCTGGGGTTGCGTCCCGACTATGCTGCAGGGATATCTGTACCGAAAGGACCGTGGCCGCACCGCAAAGAAAAGGAGATCGGGCCCTCGATCCTAGCTTGCTAGGTTCGCCATTGTTGTTGTTGTTGTTGTGTCCATTGTCCATGGTGGTGCAGTTTCCGGCATCTTGATTTGGTTTTAGGAACTGTGCCATGAGGAATTATGGGTACCTTTGTGTGAATACGTTCCACTTAACTAGCAGGAACCCGTATAACCCTAAAATGGTGTCAAGACTCAAGAGACTAAAATAATTATTACCTATTTAATTCGCGTTTTTGACACCACTTGGGGGTCCAAATTTTGGGCTCTAAAACTCCTATTTCTTGGCCAATTTTTTATTTTTTCATGCTGATTTGGAGGCCATTAAAGCATTTGACCCAATCAAAAAAGTTTCAGTTGTATATCTTTTACGGTTTTTGCGGAAAGTCGCGTTAAAGTTGATGCCGTGGTGTCAGTAAAATGGCACGGAACCATATATATCGTCTCGCTTTATATATAGTAAGATATCGATAATGAAAGTTAGATTCTCCAATCTGACCGGTTTGTCACATCAATGGTGTCCAATGTGTTCGGTAGGGGGGGTACCAATGGCATAAATGGCATAATGGAGAATTGGCCAATAAAAATTTCCATTTATGCCATAAAACGTATGCCATTTATGCCATTTTTGATATAATACATTTTTAGTTTCTTTATTTGTCATATGAATCTTTAACGATCATTCCAAGCGTTATAAAGCATGAAACATGTCTCTTATTCAAGTACTAATAATAATTTGCGAATTTAAAGTCAAATATGAAGACCTAAATTCATGGCATAAATGGAGAATTGGCCAATAAAAATTTCCATTTATGCCATAAAACGTATGCCATTTATGCCATTTTATGCCATTGGTACCCCCCCGTTCGGTAATTTCATGCATGAAATGTCAGAAATAAAACGAACGATTAAATCTAATATGGTATTTGATATAAGTTTATCAACAAATCACATGAAACATACACTTAAACTTCTGTTATAAAAATCACCCTATAATCGTTATGGCTGTACAAAAACAAATGCATTATAGTTACCATAGTTACCACTAGTTAGTTACCATAGTTATGGCTGTACAAAAACAAATGCATTATAGTTACCATAGTTACCACTAGTTAGTTACCATAGTTATGGCTGTACAAAAACAAATGCATTATAGATTTTTGATTCATCTATATAAGGTAAATTTCAATAAAAACTTCTATCCTATTCTAATTTCAGCATCATAATTCATAATTTACATCAAACATACAAACAAAATATCATCTTAAACCACCAATCTTTTTCTGGAGTAATAGTAAGTGTAAAATGCCCAAAGTAAATTCTGTAATCTCGGAGTTCAAAGAGGTTTAATTTGTTTTGCATTGTCCTGTTCCACATTCCATACTTATCGAAACAGAGCTGAAACATGTGGTTACCCTGGTTACCTTGATAACATGATAACATATCGGAAAGATACGTCAAAGATGCAACGTCATAAATGCTCAACAATGCACATTATATACTATACCTTGATATGACCCAAACTTTGTGTTCGAATAATTGAACTTGACTTAAAATGTTCATACAAATTCATTTATACTCCATAGTAGATCATAACCAATACACAAACAATTACAATAACCACTATTTTGGTTATATGTATATTAATCATTAGACTGTACTCAGTGGACTCCTAACATTGTTATAGCGCTCAGTTATAGGTTATTTTAATACTCGCACATGTACACTGTACATTTTTCACTGTACAATGTACATGTTACACTGTACACTGTACAATGTAAAATGTACACTATACATGTTACACTGTACAATGTACACTATACACTGTACATTTTACACTGTACAATGTACAATGTACACTATACACTGTACATTTTACACTGTACAATGTACAACAAGCGCGCGAGAGCAATGCGCATCGCTCCCCTCCTACAAAGACACCTTAATCGCATGTTTACTAATCATACTCGTTACTCATAAACACTCTGAAAACTTTAACACAATAAAATAAAATACAAACCATTCACTATTCAATCAATCACTTATAAACACCTCATCCAGTTTAAACATATGAAAGGGGCCACTTTGATCATGGGCAAACAAAACTGAATGAGCGAGAAGTTCAACAATATCAACGTGCTGATTCCTGTGAAATGTCACGGGAAATGTACAGCTCTACTATGTCAGCTATGCTCTTGATAGATGAGGTGATCTCATCTTCCGTTAGCTCGGTGTTCACTGTAAGCCGGATACTGAAAAAAGAAGTGTTAGAACTTAGAAAGCTTTACAATGAAAAATCATATTTTCCAATTTCTGTTCAATTGTCGATTCAGAAGATCCTGCTACGAGAAGGAGGGGGAGGTAGGAATTATTTTGTAGATATTACAATACTTTCATGCCCCATGACGTCGTGGTTCGTACCACAGAGTTCTGTACCCCAGATTTCTATACCACAGAGTTCTGTACCCCAGATTTCTGTAACCCTGATTTTCTGTACCCCAGATTTTCTGGGCTCCAAAATTTCGTACACAGGGGAGCAGTGGCGAATAGCGCAGATTAGCAGTTAGCATTAGATATCAATCAATAAATTAGGAACTTCTGTTACTTCCTGCACGCTGCTTTATTCTTCTATTTTCTACAACTACGACGACAGAAACTCTCGTGGGGGAAGTGTTTGAAGTCAAACAAAATTACTTGAGCGCGTTCCAAAATAGTAGAGTCTCTATTTTAGTACAAAAACGCGTAAATGGGGTGACAATGGACTGGCGTGAATGCTGAATGGTTTTCAGACTATTTGAAAATAAAAAGGCTTCAATTAGTGCAAAAACGGTAGAGGATGGTAAGATTATTTCTAAAAAAGAGAAACAAACTACGGAAAGGTCAACAAAAGGAGTCGCCACTGGGAGAGCGGGAAGAGGTAATGTGTTTGTTTGGACACGTAATATGGCAGAACTATTACATAAACAATTCACTACAGTGTGTAAAAACAGTTGTAACTTGTTGACAACATGTCTGCCAGTACATCCTACAGTTATCTCTACATCAATTGTAGCAGCTGATTCACAGCTCATAGTTGGACACTGTATAATATTAGCCATTATAAGTAATTGAGACTTAGAATAAAATGTTTTATTTTTGATATCGAAGCAGAATAAATTAGTTTACCTTGGTTCTTTTTTAAATAACTCAGTCGAGTTATAGCTGGCCACAGTGAGTGCCAAATTATTTTCTCTTGCCTGAGGTTTGAGATAAAATAGATAAGAATGAATAACGATTAATTAAGTAAATAGCTTGATGATCAATTGTGGAATCATTGGCAAAGATGATGCATTCGGGGCTTACCTACTCAAAGACTGCCATAAAAATGATAAAAATATTTCAACTGCAGATCACAAAAAGCAAAAGACAAGGCTGGCCGAGCAGGGGCTCGAACCCTGGACATTCGCGTTATTAGCACGACGCTCTAGCCAACTGAGCTACACGGCCATGCATAAGAAGGCAAAAAGTGATATGTAATTGTCCGGAGACATTTACCATGGTGCAGATTTCTCTTAGTGCTTCTTCGCTGTTATTATCTATCAATCTGATGTGTTTCATAGGTGATAAAGGATCTCCTGCAACAGTGATTGTATCAATCGTCTCAAGAGCTTGATGGGCAAATTTGCAGTTTTCGATCAGCTTGGAGAATAGATCTGAAATAAAGTTAAACAATTGAATAAAGGATCAATAAAACCTGAATACGGGAAACTTAATCTCACATTTATCAAACCCAAATTTGATTTGGCATTAGTCGGACATGTTTGTAGAAGAAATCTTCGCCCATAAAGCTAACCCTACCTTTGTTGAAGAAGTCCATGGCCCTGAGGACCATACTGGCGTGAAGCAATCCCTACCTTTGTTGAAGAAGTCCATGGCCTTGAGGACCATACTGGCGTGAAGCTAACCCTACCTTTGTTGAAGAAGTCCATGGCCTTGAGGACCATACTGGCGTGAAGGGGAGGCAGAGAGGCCGAGAAGACGTATCCTTGTCCAGCTAAACGTTGATGTCTGATAACAAAGGAGGAGCCACAAGCGAAACCTCCGACTGATCCAAGAGAGAATTCCATTGAGCCGACTATCATGTCTACATTCCTTCGCTGAGGAGATGATTAATTATAGGCACGGTAGTCAGCAAAATGTGTGGATATAACAGAGAAATGAAGCAGTTAACTAAATCGTAATGTGTGCTGTCGCCTGTCTTTTAATTATAAATTAACGATCTAGATTTAAAAATCCAAAAAACGGGAACTGGACTCACGTCAACATTGTAAAATTCAGTTAATCCACGTCCGTTCTCGCCGAGCACCCCAAAACTGTAGCTCTCATCTAGAAATATCCTGAACTTGTACTTCTGCTTCAACTCAATCTGTAAATAATAATAAAACTGTAGCTCTCATCTAGAAATATCCTGAACTTGTACTTCTGCTTCAACTCAATCTGTAAATAATAATAAAACTGTAGCTCTCATCTAGAAATATCCTGAACTTGTACTTCTGCTTCAACTCAATCTGTAAATAATAATAAAACTGTAGCTCTCATCTAGAAATATCCTGAACTTGTACTTCTGCTTCAACTCAATCTGTAAATAATAATAAAACTGTAGCTCTCATCTAGAAATATCCTGAACTTGTACTTCTGCTTCAACTCAATCTGTAAATAATAATAAAACTGTAGCTCTCATCTAGAAATATCCTGAACTTGTACTGCTGCTTCAACTCAATCTGTAAATAATAATAAAACTGTAGCTCTCATCTAGAAATATCCTGAACTTGTACTTCTGCTTCAACTCAATCTGGAATTTGAGTTACTTTTAGACATTCCGGACGTCTAGTTTCAAGGTTCCAAAAGGGATGAAACCTTGCAAGGAGAATTACCGATTGGTACAACCTGAGCTACTATACATAGTGTTTCAATAGTCTTGCAAGGATTTACTTTTTGAATTACTTTTTGTTTACTCTGAGAGACAAAATCATAAGCGTTCCTCATATCGTTTTTCGTACTTATATTATATTTGATACAAGAGAAACGCCATTTTCGGACGTGAGGAGAGTTAGGACTCCTCCAACTACATTAAATCAATTCCTTCTGTAACGTCCTCAATAAATGTAATAGATTTATAGTGTTGTAATTAGTTTAAAACATATTACCACTAATCTACTAATCTTCCACAATAATCACCAGCCAAAGTAGTGTAATGGACTGTACCCAATTGGCTGCTACAGGATATGTCCACTTAAGGACTGCTACGTAACCCGGTAGTCAATCGGTTAATTGGGGGCGCTGTCATTGTACCCAGGACCCTGGGGCCTTGTTATAACCTTCATCTTTTGCTAGCCTCGTGTTAGATCCATATTATAACCTTCATCTTTTGCTAGCCTCGTGTTAGATTCATATTATAACCTTCATGTTTTGCTAGCCTCGTGTTAGATTCATATTATAACCTTCATGTTTTGCTAGCCTCGTGTTAGATCCATGTTATAACCTTCATGTTTTGCTAGCCTCGTGTTAGATCCATATTATAACCCCCATCTTTTGCTAGCCTCGTGTTAGATCCATATTATAACCCCCATCTTTTGCTAGCCTCGTGTTAGATCCATATTATAACCCCCATCTTTTGCTAGCCTCGTGTTAGATCCATATTATAACCTTCATCTTTTGCTAGCCTCGTGTTAGATCCATATTATAACCTTCATCTTTTGCTAGCCTCGTGTTAGATCCATATTATAACTATCATGTTTTGCTAGCCTCGTGTTAGATCCATATTATAACCTTCATGTTTTGCTAGCCTCGTGTTAGATCCATGTTATAACCTTCATGTTTTTATTGATGAAATGCTATTTGTCTAGGCGAGTAAGGATGCTGTTTAGAGATTTACGTTAGCAAGATTTAATACATAGTAAATTGTCCCTTGCCATTAGGGCGTAGCTCCTCGTGGAGCTGTGTCCTCTTGACACCTTGAGACACCTTGTGACACCTTGTGACACCTTGAGACACCTTGTGACACCTTGTGGTCCCGGAGGTAAATCCTCCAGCCACGTCTGCTTCTACAAAGTTTTTATTATAACTGAGTTGATTTCTGAGTGAAAACGCTGCTTATCTTTGAACAGCAATACAATTTTATGGATTACATGACCGATAAGAAGTTTTGTAAGTACATCTATATAACGATTTTAATATTATTACATGGCACATTTTAGTATTGAATTAGTATTGCTATTAAAAAGCTCAGTGTAGCCATCTGCTATATATTTTAGATTTTCATCATCATCAAGCTTCTTCTCATCTCCTCTTGTCTCTTGTTCATAACTTACTATCTTCTTCGACTTTACTACGTTAACTACTGTAAAGCCCCCCTTGTTATAGCCTGTTTGTTTTGCAGGTGGAGACAACACCACGTGGTGTTACAACAGGACTTTTATACAGCTGATGTTTATTAGCAATTTTATAAATAAATGAATAAGTATAGTCTAATATATATATTATACACCACGTATAACGCTTCTACAATAAAAATACCAAAAAAGATAACAAAATGTACTCATAATTTGTTTCCCACAATAAACTAGCGGCACACAATTTTCCCTGTCAACCTTCCCATGAAAGCTACTAGTGACAATAATTCGTCTTACGTTATACATCACTGAAATTTGATGCTCCTTTATAATCCTCTACACTGCTATCACGTGACTTTGCATGGTAAGTGCTCCCCACACTTTTAGTTTGACAACGCGACAGAGTACATTTTCGTCTGAGCTAGTAGGTAATACCTTTTACTGCAGAATATTCTGTACAGGCACGCTTTTGCTACCTTATTTTATCTGCTCATCACTCTTGTCCGATTAATCTTGCCACGTGTTCCTTTCTTATCGGGAGATAATAATAATTTGATTTTGAGGTTAAATTTAAAGTAATCGTGTACCTGGCAACAATCCCGCTCACATTGGGACTTCCGCTAAGTTTCTCAATGTAATCCGACTTATAAGACCCTAGATAACACAATTGACTCAGGTACACTTTTTCACGAGTGGGGCATTTCTCGGAATCACGCCCTTTTTGACCACGCCCATATCACAACCCCCACTATAAATAGTAGTAAACCCGCGATGGGGTGGCATGTGCCTCAATAAAAATATTACAATCATTTATTATTATATCAATTTATCATTAAATATTTCAAAAATATCAATAACGTATGGTTGATCCTTCACACTTGGTAAAATATATAAAAATAAAGTTAATCTACACTAGAGAATAAATAATCTATATTATATAAATCAACAATATTAACTCCCCATCTTCTTGTAGTCATTTATCAAAGCGGTAGAAATCCAAGTAATTTTAGTACGCGGTGCGCAAGGAATTTCGTTTTAAAAAATGTGTAGGCAAGATAAGCCTAAGTGTGGCAGTGAAAATTGAAAAATAAGTAAATTGCAGTGACTGACTGTCAAATGCATTATCGCAGTTCATTTATTTGACTGCACTAACGTTTAGGATTCTTACAGCTGTTATATTTTGCTAATATTTTGTTTAAAAGTTGTAAAGGACAAAGTTCTTGTCCGTCCACGAAAGGTTTTCTAGGTCAAGTTTTTGTTTGTCCAGTAAGTAACGTACAATGTTGTCCTTGTATGAATTAATAAACTTATCTTGTAACTTAGGTACGTTGAAGGGAAGCATTTTATTTATTTCGTTTATCGTGTTGTTATATAATCGTGGTCCTACGTTAGAGATGCTATAATCGGTGATCCGTAATCTGTTGAACTTAATTTCAAAATACTTTGGATTTCTCCTTTCCGTTTGTCTAAGCGGTGATTTTTCAAATATACTACAGATACTCGATGGTGCTACTCCCATATAAACCTTGTGCATCAAAGTTAGACAGCTTTTAGCAATGAGATTAGGAAGAGCCAAAATTCCTATTTTGTTGAAGATGGATTTTGTGTGAGATGGTAGTTTACGTTTTCTTTGTCGTAAAAATAGTTATGATATTCTGAATCAGTGGCGCGAATAGCTTTCTTTTGAGCAGAGAATAAAGACTGAATGGAATTTAAAGATTTAATACCCCAAACAGTAGCGCAGTAATACAGGTGAGATTGAATTAAACTATTGTATAGCATTTTTTGAGCTTTATTCGGAATGGAACTTTTAAGTTTCATCATTACGCCTGCATTTCTGGATATTTTAGTCTTTAACTGTTTAATGTGCTGTATATATAAATCGCCAAAAATCCGATTTTATTATTATATTAGCAGTTTCACGAGTAACAATTGTCACACTTATTTCTAGATATCTCAGCTTCTGATTCATCACATTGAAATAAGTTATAATTGTTACTCGTGAGACTGCTAATAATATAGTGAAATCGGATTTTTGGCGATTTCTCAAAATCTAAGCCTCTAAGACCTTAAGTATGTTTATTAATATAAACATGCATCTTAGGCACATTTTGGTTTATGCCAGAGGTCTGTATCTCAATCAGAAGCTGAAATAATTAATAGTGAGGGTCGCTAAAAGGGCGTGGTCAAAAAGGGCGTGATTCCGAGAAATGCCCAACTGGTGAGAAAGTGTACCTGAGTCAATTGTGATATTTAGGGTCTTATAAGTCGGATTACATCGAGAACTAAGCGGAAGTTCCAATGTGAGCGGGATTGTTTCCAGGTACCGTATTAAAGAGCCGTTATGAAATATAGAAGATCTTCTGAGTAGTAAATCAGCAATAAACCTTGTAATTATAAACGGTTCTACCTGCAAGATGAGCTACAAAACATTTAATCCTCTAAACGGTTGAAATGGCTGTCGTCATAATACCAGATCATTTAATAGTACTGAACATAATCATCCCTTACTAACTCTCACTGCAATCACGTCACTATTATACCCGAGTAATCATTGAAACTGTTTTCTCTGATCATATACAACGAAAAGGCAACATAATTTACCCTAAGCACTTCCTCTCGCTGGTTTCCCCCCGACACACAATTAGCAATAACCACGTCTCTTGACACACAATCTTACTGCTTTTAGATAATCAGTCATTACATTTGGAGTACCAGGTAATTAGTTCTAGAGGACCAGTCTGTCTCTACCCGGCTAATATTAGTGTACACTAATTGACTATAACTCTGCTGGGTATTACATGAGTAATGGTTGATTCTTTTATTTGGGAGAGCAGACTCTTCGTTGTTTTAAACGGTGCTGGAGATTTGAGATCTACAGTACGCTACAGAGTTCAGGCCATTGTGATTTCAGTGTCATTTTGTTCGTTTATCTGTTTATGTATCCCGATTAGTTGTGTTGCTAAATTCGGTCGTATTTACATTTTGTTGTACAACAAGTGCTGTGTGTTTGAATACACAGTTGCAACTTTAAATCGATATGAGGATTGTTTGATTAGTACGTCTGCTTTGTCTTTAACCTTTCTCACTTTTCTAAACAGCACGAGAAAAATAGCCACGATACCTTATTTAAAAGATACTCCAAATAGTCACAACAGTAGATCAACCCAAATAAGCAAACAGTACACTTGATTACCATGGTAACACTAGGAACTACTTGATTACTCACCAGTCGGGGGAGGTTGGTGATTTGTCCGGTGTTGATGAATAGTCCCTCTGTTACCAGGAACCTGTTCGTTACTCTGGCTTTCTTTGGGTTCTGTTCAGAGGGAATAGGGATGTGTTAGTGTTTATATTATATTATATTATATATATTATATATAAGAGAGGGGGGGGGGGCCAATGACTACCAATGGAGACTTTTGGGGACTAATGGGGACTAAAAATCATGGGGACTGGAGGTCAACTCGTTGACGTAATTCACCATTTGTCCCCATAAGTCCCCAGAATTTTTGACAGTTATTTATGGTTTCCAAGTTAGTTTAATAACGATATGATCGAGATGTTTTGTCCAAGATAAGAGTAGGATGAACCTGACTTAAAAGTAAAATGATAAGCCCGGTTGTAATGTGTTCTACCACTGTACAAGTCAGTTCAGATTGAGGTAAATTGAAGTTTAGCTCTCGTGAAGGTAGAAGTAGCCGACTCGCTGAACTATCTGAATCTTATAATCGAATGAAAAATCATGAATTAACCCTTCGACTTACCCTCCTAATACACTTAAAGATGTTAGATGATGGGCGAATGAGTATTTATAACAGCCGTTCTGTGAACAGACTTGGTGATCTTTATTTTAAGGGGGGGGGGGGGGGGGGGGGTGACATGTCTCCAATGTCTCCAATGTCTTTTTTGAAAAGATAGGGTGCAGAGACATGTCCTGGAGACATTGGAAACATTGGAGACACAGCTTTTGGAGACATTGGAGACATTGGAGACATTGGGGACATTTGAGACATTGGAGACAAAGCTTTTGGAGACATTGGAGACATTGGAGACACTGGAGACGTAGATGTATGATTGGAGAAAGAGGAGGATCTAGGAGGAGGATGACCCAGGAGAAGGACTCAGGAGGAGAAGGAGGAGGATGAGGACTCAGGAAGAGGACTCAGGAGGACTGAGAAGGAGGAGGACTGAGGATGGTTGTGGAGGATGGCTGAGGAGGATGGCTGAGGAAGATGACTGAGGAGGAGGATCTAGGAGGATAAGGACCCAGGAGGAGGAGGACCCAGGAGGAGGACTCAGGAGGAGGAGGAGGAGGACTCAGGAGGAGGACTCAGGAAGAGGACTGAGGAGGACAGAGAAGGAGGAGGACTGAGGAGTACTGAGGAGGATGGCTGAGGAGGATGACTGAGGAGGATGACTGAGGAGGATGACTGAGAGGGAGGAGGAGGAGAAGAAGGACTGAGGAGAAGGAGAAGGACCTAGGAGGATGAGGACCCAGGAGGAGGACTCAGGAGGAAGAGGAAGAGGACTCAGGAGGACTGAAAAGGAAGAGGACTGAGGAGAACTGAGGTGGAGGAGGACTGAATAGGAGGAGGAGGGGGACTGGGGGAGGACTGAGGATGAAGAAGACTGACGAGAAGGATGAGGAGGAGGACTGAGGACTGAGGAGGATGAAGAGGAGGAAGACCCAGGAGGAGGAGGGATGAGGACTGAGGAGGATGGCTGAGGAGGATGACTGAGGAGGATGACTGAGAGGGAGGAGGAGGAAGAGGACTGAGGAGGAGTAGGACTGAGGAGGAGAAAGAGGAGGACCTAGGAGGAGGTGGACCCAGAAGGAGGACTCAGGAGGAGATCTCAGGAAGAGGACTGAGGAGGACTGAGAAGGACTGAGGAGGAGAAGGAGAAGGTGGAGGAACTAAAAGGAGGATGAACCAGGAGGAGGACTCAGGAGGAGGACTTAGGAGGAATGAGAAGGAGGAGGACTCAGGAGAACTGATGAGGAGGAGGAGGAGGACTGAATAGGAGGAGGAGGGGGACTGGGGAGGACTGAGGAGGAGGAGGACTGACGAGAAGGATGAGGAGGAGGACTGAGGACTGAGGATGAAGAGGAGAAAGACCCAGGAGGAGGAGGGATGAGGACTGAGGAGGACTGAGGAGGATGGCTGAGGAGGATGGCTGAGGAGGATGACTGAGAGGGAGGAGGAGGAAGAGGACTGAGGAGGAGGAGTGGGACTGAGGAGGAGAAAGAGGAGGACCTAGGAGAAGGAGGACCCAGAAGGAGGACTCAGGAGGAGGAGGAGATCTCAGGAAGAGGACTGAGGAGGACTGAGAGGGAGGAGGACTCAGGAGTACTGAAGAGGATGACTGAGGAGGAGGAGGAGAAGGAGAAAGACTGAGGAGGAGAAGGAGAAGGTGGAGGATGAACCAGGAGGATGAACCAGGAGGAGGACTCAGGAGGAAGAGGAGGAGGACTCAGGAGGAGGACTTAGGAGGAATGAGAAGGAGGAGGACTGAGGAGAACTGAGGAGGAGGAGGAGGAGGACTGAATAGGAGGAGGAGGGGGACTGGGGAGGACTGAGGAAGAGGAGGAGGATGAAGAGGACCCAGGAGGAGGAGGACTGAAGAGGAGGATGAGGATGAGGACTGAGGAGGAGGAGGAGGACTGAGGAGGATGGCTGAGGAGGATGACTGAGAGGGAGGAGGAGGACTGAGGAGGAGGAGGAGAAGGACTGAGGAGGAGAAGGAGGAGGACCTAGGAGGAGGAGTACTGATGAGGAGGACTGATGAGGATGGCTGAGGAGGATGGCTGAGGAGGATGGCTGAGGAGGATGGCTGAGGAGCACGGCTGAGGAGGATGGCTGAGGAGGATGACTGAGGAGGATGACTGAGAGGGAGGAGGAGGAGGAGAAGGACTGAGGAGGAGGAGGAGGAGAAGGAGGAGGACCTAGGAGGAGGAGGACTCAGGAAGAGGAGGAGGACTCAGGAGGAGGACTTACAAGGAGGAGGACTGAGGAGAACTGAGGAGGAGGAGGATGAGGACTGAATAGGAGGAGGATGGGAACTGGGGGAGGACTGAGGAGGAGGGGGACTTGGGGAGGACTGATGAGGAGGAGGAAGACTGACGAGAAGGATGAGGAGGAGGACTGAGGAGGAGGACTGAGGAGGATGACTGAGGAGGATGACTGAGGAGGATGACTGAGAGGGAGGAGGAGGAGAAGAAGGACTGAGGAGAAGGAGAAGGACCTAGGAGGATGAGGACCCAGGAGGAGGACTCAGGAGGAAGAGGAAGAGGACTCAGGAGGACTGAAAAGGAAGAGGACTGAGGAGAACTGAGGTGGAGGAGGACTGAATAGGAGGAGGAGGGGGACTGGGGGAGGACTGAGGATGAAGAAGACTGACGAGAAGGATGAGGAGGAGGACTGAGGACTGAGGAGGATGAAGAGGAGGAAGACCCAGGAGGAGGATGGCTGAGGAGGATGACTGAGAGGGAGGAGGAGGAAGAGGACTGAGGAGGAGGAGTGGGACTGAGGAGGAGAAAGAGGAGGACCTAGGAGAAGGAGGACCCAGAAGGAGGACTCAGGAGGAGGAGGAGATCTCAGGAAGAGGACTGAGGAGGACTGAGAGGGAGGAGGACTCAGGAGTACTGAAGAGGATGACTGAGGAGGAGGAGGAGAAGGAGAAAGACTGAGGAGGAGAAGGAGAAGGTGGAGGATGAACCAGGAGGATGAACCAGGAGGAGGACTCAGGAGGTAGAGGAGGAGGACTCAGGAGGAGGACTTAGGAGGAATGAGAAGGAGGAGGACTGAGGAGAACTGAGGAGGAGGAGGAGGAGGACTGAATAGGAGGAGGAGGGGGACTGGGGAGGACTGAGGAAGAGGAGGAGGATGAAGAGGACCCAGGAGGAGGAGGACTGAAGAGGAGGATGAGGATGAGGACTGAGGAGGAGGAGGAGGACTGAGGAGGATGGCTGAGGAGGATGACTGAGAGGGAGGAGGAGGACTGAGGAGGAGGAGGAGAAGGACTGAGGAGGAGAAGGAGGAGGACCTAGGAGGAGGAGTACTGATGAGGAGGACTGATGAGGATGGCTGAGGAGGATGGCTGAGGAGGATGGCTGAGGAGCACGGCTGAGGAGGATGGCTGAGGAGGATGGCTGAGGAGGATGACTGAGGAGGATGACTGAGAGGGAGGAGGAGGAGGAGAAGGACTGAGGAGGAGGAGGAGGAGAAGGAGGAGGACCTAGGAGGAGGAGGACTCAGGAAGAGGAGGAGGACTCAGGAGGAGGACTTACAAGGAGGAGGACTGAGGAGAACTGAGGAGGAGGAGGATGAGGACTGAATAGGAGGAGGATGGGAACTGGGGGAGGACTGAGGAGGAGGGGGACTTGGGGAGGACTGATGAGGAGGAGGAAGACTGACGAGAAGGATGAGGAGGAGGACTGAGGAGGAGGACTGATGATTGAGGAGGAAGAGGAGGATGATGAAGAGGAGTAGGAGGACCCAGGAGGAGGAGGACCCAGGAGGTCCGGAGGAGGACCCATGAGGTCCGGAGGAGGACCCAGGAGGTCCGGAGGAGGAACCAGGAGGAGGACCAAGGTCCCAGGAGGAAAACTCAGGAGGAGGAGAACGACTGAGGAGGACTGAGGGGGAGGAGGAGGAGGAGGAGGAGGAGGAGGAGTCTCCAAAAGCTGTGTCTCCAATGTCTCTAAAAGCTGTGTCTCCAATGTCTCCAATGTCTTTGTCTTTTTCGAAAAGATAAGGTGCGGGAGACATTGGAGACATGTCACCCCCCCCCCCCCCCCCCCCCCCCCCCCCCTTTAAGCACTGGCAAGCACTCTTTTGTGAATATTTCCATAAATGATCGTCAAAAACAAAAGAAACCAACGCCAATTTCAAATTACTGAGCATATCATTTCAGACAAATAAATACAAAAGTAATAAGAAAAATTGATAATGCGTTTATTTTCCTTGCGCTACAACTCGTGTTACTAGATCAATCTGATAAAATAAGCGTATATATGCAATATGTCTCCTCAATGTTGTCATTGGTAGTCGCCCCCGCCCCCTCCCTTAATTTACCTGAGGTACTCTAACAGCCCTCAAGTAGCTCCCAAGAAGTCAGGAATGTCCAGTGACCATTTATAAATATTATAGACTTCAGTCTTGAGAAGTTTACGATCTGGTCTGGAGAAGCCAGATTTTTTGAAATCTAAATGGGGACTAATGGAGACTTTTGGGGACTAATGGGGACTAAAAATCATGGGGACTCGGGGTAAAATCGTTGACGTAATTCCCCAAGTCCCCAAAAGTAGTCATTGGCCCCCCCCCCCCCCCCCCCCCCCATAAGAGAATTATACCCAGCATTGACCGGCGAACTGATAGCTACTTCAGAAGCAATGAAACTACGATATATTATATATGTTGGATTATTATTATTATCTATAACTAATGTGTTAGCAGAGGTATTTAACCGAAACCGCTCAGGACCCTTATAACTTTATAATGGAATTTCTAGGACATGCGCAAACAACACTGGACAAAGTTCAAATTCAAAACGGAAATCTTGACTTCCAATTTATGATTCCAAAAATAAAGGTACATTTTCGGTTGCCCCAAAATTGCTCATTGCTGCCAAAAACTAAGCAAAGTAGGACCAGTAAGTTAACTAAAATAACTTTGCGGAGTGAGAATTGTAAATAAACTGCTGTTACACCACCAACCTTTCTATCTTTAGTAGCCTGAATCTCCAGCAGTTCTACAAGATGGTCTAAGTCGTTGTGTTTATAGTAGTACACAGTGCTACGTGAAGCTAGGATGCCTTTCTGTATCGCGTAGCACACTTCTTCATCGCTGAAATATTAATACGTTCAGTAGTTACCATGGTTACAGTGTGTAACTAGTGGTAACCACCAATACGGCCAGTGTTATTGCACCTTATCACTGCAAAACGGTCAGTGCTATTGCACCTTAGATTCTGGCGATCCATAAACGTAATTCTAACTCATTATATTTTGTATTTAACGACCTGTTATCTGTTTTGTTAAAACTTACAGTTTACACCTATTAAAGTTACTAGAGGTAATTATAATATCCAAACAGAATTACTGACGATGTGATGTTGTAATGCTGAATGTGGGTCAAGTAGAGTCAGGATGGATGTGAGTTGTCTGTGCACTGTAAACCTTTTAAAACTATTTACCATTATAATTCAATAAACGTGCAGTTACTGGTTTCTAGTTTCGGTATCAACTAAACAGGTGTGATGTATTTGAGTTTTAGATTTACTGGAAATTCAACCAGTTCATTAACCAGTTTCATTTTGCACTAACAAATCAAGAGAGAAAAATCATCAACAAGGTTTTGACCCTGAAATAAAAATTAGGTATATTTATTTATCGATGCGAAGAGAGGAAACTACCCTCTAGCTTTAATTGGTGGAAGAAGTTTCATTTTCACATAAATTAATATATAATATAATATTATATTAGGGTAACTTGACTACGGATTTATCATCTAATTGTTAGATTTCAATCCTGAAAGCAAATTTCCCAAACTTTTTCATGTCCTACAATCTACATCCTCTTTTTCGAACCACACTTATTTCACAATAAATTAAGAAAATTAGCTCAAAAACCCACACTCCGCAGATCAGTGCTTTGTTACTAGGCGACGGATCCTTTTCTTTAAATAACCGGCGGCGTGCCACATTAGAGTTTAAGCTTGTATTAACTTATAAAAGGTTATTACTTACACTGTAATCTATTCATTGTAATTTACTGTTTTAGACCTTGTACTCATTGAACTACTATGTGCGACAGCGGTTATATTATTTATATATTATATTATATATATTTATATCATATTACTATATTATATTATATATATATTTATATCATATTATATTATATTATGTTATATATTTTTATATTATTTGTATTATCAAGGATCTCTAGGTGGCCCACTTACTGCATTGCACCTTGCTAGTGGTATATCTATATATTTTATATAGAAGTGATTTTTTCTTCAGAATATTGTTGAGATGATCTAGTTAATGTTGCAGAGTTAATCTTCCAGTTACCATGGTTACAGTGTGTAAATATAATATATGTTAATAAATATTCACTCCATCATTATTATTATAGTCCAATCTTTTGATCGCTTGTTTATTGCTGAAACTCCTCTAAACCGCAGCTTGATGATTTTTACTATCTGAAAATGTTGATAAGCACCAAAACCCTCTAAAATCCTAGATCTAAGTGTCCTTACCAAAATATGATGTCGCCTCGTTTGCTGTAAGCAGGGATTGCACTGGCAACTGTGGCGAAACCGTAACTGTAGATGATAGCTTCCTCGCATTCCATATACTGGGCTAACTTCTCCTCCAACAGCAAATGTACGTCTGGGGGTGGGGTGGAGTTTATTACATTAACTTGTTTTAAATAATTGTACTTTATTATAAAAAGTTATAACTTAGTGAAACTTAAAACTATTCGGCTTTCATTAACAAACGTATTTTATTTTGTTGGAATTTCATGATGTTTTGCGGTAGTGAGATGTTTAGCCAAAATTTGGAATATTTTAGAATATAATTAAAACAACCGTGAATAGATTTTTTTAAATTTGAAACTGCAGAGCTAAGGTTGCTATAGTTACCAATAGTTCCGTAGAAGCCTCTAGGACCACAAGATCCGACTCCGTATTTCAGCACGCTTGTAATAGCTGCTTCCTGGGGGGTTAAACTAATTACTTCTTTATTTTAGCTTACTTTTTAAACAAATTACTTCTTTATTTTGGTTTACCTTTTTAAACAAATCACTTCTTTATTTTGGTTTACCTTTTTGAACAAATTACTTCTTTATTTTGGTTTACCTTTTTTAAACAAATTACTTCTTTATTTTGGTTTACCTTTTTTTAACAAACTAATTCTTTATTTTGGTTTACCTTTTTTAAACAAATTACTTCTTTATTTTGGTTTACCTTTTTTAAACAAATTACTTCTTTATTTTGGTTTACCTTTTTTTAACAAACTAATTCTTTATTTTGGTTTACCTTTTTTAAACAAATTACTTCTTTATTTTGGTTTACTTTTTTAAACAAATTACTTCTTTATTTTGGTTTACCTTTTTTAATAAATAAATAAAATAAATTCTAACATTTATTACACGCTTCGACATTAAAATATACCCAACAAAGATGTACATTAAAGTCATTCAAGCGAGACTTAGTGTTGAAATAGCAAGATTATGGACTTTTTAAACAGTTCAGATTTTATGAACAAATATTTGTATGAAGTTACTAAAATTATGCACTTTCATATCAGTTCAGACATTATGGACAAATATTAGAAATATTATCAAAAGCTAGTTGGAAATAAAACGTCTTTAGGGCATTTTTAAAACATTCTACAGATGATAATGATCTCACTGAGTAGGGTAGTTCATTCCAAATTTTTGGTCCACAAAACATAAATGCAGCATCTGTTCGTCTGAAATGAGGAGCAGGAGGAACTTTCAACAAATAAAAGTCATCATCTAGTCTGGAACTTTGTCTTCGTACTTCCCTTAGATTGACGTGTCCTTGTAAGTACTGAGGGGCTATGTTATTAAGACACTTGAAGACCAGAAGTGATATTTTGAACTTAATTCTGAACCGAACAGGCAGAAAGTGGAGCTTTTTGAGGTAAGGCATGATAGGTTCACGTATCTTTTTTCCGTAAAGACCAAAGATAAATCTAGCAGCATTGTTTTGTATCTTTTGTAGCTTATGAAGATTCTTTTCTGTTATTCCATAATAGACTGAGTTGCAGTAGTCTATGAAACAGAGGATATTGGAGTGAACTAACTGAACTTTTAGGTCATGGGAAAGCTTCGAACCGATTCTTGCTAAGTCCCTTTGATTCAAATAACATACTTTGGAGACAGCATTTATTTGAGAGTCCAGATTCATTTGGTGATCGAAAAGGAATCCCAGGTTCTTGGCCTTGCTAACAGGGCAGATTGAGAGGTCTCCTAAATCCATTGTCTGGATTGGGCTGACATATGGTCCTATATCAATGAACTCTGTTTTTTCATCATTCAGTTTTAGGAAGTTAACTGTCATCCATTGCTTTATCTCCAGAAAGCAATTTTTCACAGCCGTTAAATCAGGATTAGAACTGTGAACATCAAAAGTAAAGTACACCTGTGTGTCATCTGCATACAAATGTATCGAGAAACCATATTTTGTGACAATTTCTTCAAGATCTCTGGTATACAATATGAACAGTAGTGGTCCTAAAATGGATCCTTGAGGTACACCAATATCCAGATAGCCTTCAGAAGATGTGGCTTTTTTTACTTTAACCTTGAATGTGCGATTATTAAGGTAACATTGTAACCAGCTGAGTGCTAGTTCTGTAATACCATACGCATTCTTGAGTTTCGTAAGAAGGAGGTTATGGTTTATGGTGTCGAAAGCAGCTGATAGATCTAAGAGTAGAAGCACAACATTCGATTTGCTGTCAATCATCATTAGAATATCATTATGTATTTTGGTAACTGCAGTTTCACAACTATGGAATTTTCTATAGCCTGATTGATATGGGGAAAACAGGTTGTTGACATCAGCATATTCATTTAATTGGCAATGAACTACTTTTTCTAGTATTTTGGACAGATAAGTTAGATTGCTAATCGGTCGATAGTTTTTCAGCTCATCAACATCTAAGGTAGGTTTCTTGAGTCCAGGCCTAATAGATGCTTCTTTTAGGGCAGATGGAAACTTGCCGACTCTTAGTGATTCATTCACGATGTAATGGATGATTGGGAGAAGCTCGGGTAAGCAGTTCTTGAAGAGCCACATTGGTATGACATCGAGTACGCTTGATTTATTGGGAAGACTCTTAATTAAGGTTTCAAGGTCTGATAATGAGACTTCCTTAAACTGATTAAGTCTACACTTTGCATTATCTATCGAAGTAGAGTCCTTGGTACCTTGACCGTTTAGGGAAGTGTTTTGAATTTCCTTCTCAATATTAGAGTAAATGGTCTTTACTTTTTGATCGAAGAAAGTCTTGAGTTTGGCAGCCACTTCGATATCTTCACCATTTGGCAATTTGTTGGAGCCATATTCCTTATCTAAAAGTTTATTTATGACTTTATAGGTCCCTTTCGAGTCTCCTTTGCAAGAACTGAGCTGTTTATCATAGTAGCCATCCCTAGCTCGATTGATAGTGATTTCTGCATCAACACATTTTTCAAAATGAGTAGTTTTAAACTCATCATTCTCTGGATACTTTTTGGCTTTTCGTTTTGCCCTTCTCCTCTCTCTGACAGCAATTTGACATTTATTATCCCAAAAATCAGACTTTTCAGCAGTAAATCGTTTCGTAATAAGTGGGGCATGTTTGTCTAGCACCTGTTCAAGGACATTTTGATAAAGGTTCACAGCCTCGTCTAAGGATTGATATTCAGAAAGGTTAAGCTCTGAACAAAACAGATCTTCCCTGAACTTATCGATGTCAATTTTGCTTAGCTCTCTGACATCTTTTTCTTCATATGTACGAGCTTTATGAAGATCGAATGTGACTGGGACCTGAAAACTTACTAGATAGTGATCAGAGCTGGTACCAGTGCTTGTCTCTACCATCATATCTGTTACAGACAATGAGTCACTTACACAGCCTAGAGTAAATAACAAGTCCAGTGTCCCGCCGGAGATGTGAGTAGGAGAGTCGACATGCTGAAGGAAGCCTTTACTCTCACAAAGAGCAATAAAGTTCTGGGCAACATTATTGTATATGTCTTCAACATGGAAATTAAAGTCACCACAAATAATTGGAGATCCAGTTTTAAGCAGAAGATTGTCCAGGTATCCATCAAAGTCATCCATAAACTTAGATATTTTTGTTTCATCATATTTCGCTTTGGCCTGAGTGCTGCGATAAACTACACATAGCCTGATAATCTCACCAGCAGTTTTAATGACACATTCAAGTACTTCAAAAGATGAATATTTAGTAACATCATTGCGTACAGGCGATATCATTTTGGGGTTGAAGAGAAAACCAACACCACCTCCCCTACCTCTTCGAGGGGCACTGATAATATCGAACCCAAAATCACGGATTTCGGCAAACTTTGCCCGATCATTAGTTTTTAGCCAAGTTTCCGTGATACAACAGATAGAAATCGAGTTATCTTTAAGCATTTCTAGTACGCCACAAGTTTTGTTGCATAGAGACCTTGCGTTGAAACAACCAATAGAAAGCTGTGATTTCTGTCGATTAGCACCTAATTTCACATTACGTTTTTTGAAATAAAGTCAGTGTTAGCAGCAATACGTTTAGTTTCTCTTACCAACACAGGACAATCGAAAGCTGCCGCATTATGTGTTCTTGAATTCTCGGCATCATTAGTGTGTGTTGAAGCCAAACATCGAGCACAGGCATGTTTGTCCTTCTTCTGCTTAAATTGGCATGCTGAAGACCGGTGACTTCCCATACAGTACATGCAGGTAGGATGTTTATTTGTTTTGACTTCATTACAGTCAACAGAAGTGTGTCCAATCATTTGACAATGATAACACTGTTTGATGTAGAAGCGATCAGTTACTTTGTATCTGCGACTACCTAAATAGAGAGATCCTTGTTGTTGGTTAAAGAGGACTCTATAGACAGATGGTAATAGTTTGATTCCAATAGTGAGCTCTATGCGTTCCTGCTTATCGTTGGTGAAACGTTTTATCTTATTGAGATAGACAATACTGATAGTGTGCCCTGCTTCATACAAATCTTTGATGGACGAGTTTTTCTCCACAATTTGGGCGACTAAGTGGTTCTTTTCAAGATCCCTAAGTTTATCGGCATCATTCCCTACAGCTGTAGTGTCTATATCGTCAAGAACTTCAGAAGAAACACCATAAATAGTAACTTTTGGCAGCATTTTGTTGCCATTCTTAGACTTTTTTTTAACAAATTACTTCTTTATTTTCGTTTACTTTTTTTAACAAATTACTTCTTTATTTTGGTTTACTTTTTTTAACAAATTACTTCTTTATTTATGGTTTACTTTTTTAAATTTAGGTTTACTTTTTTTAATTTAAAACAAATTAATTATATTTATATACGATTATTTAAAAAATATAACGTATTGAATCTTCCCCACTTTCGGTTTCTTATCTTACAGTACTTATAATGGTTCTAGAACATTCTATAATTTAGAGATTTATTTTTAAATAAGAACATAAAATGTTCTACGATTTACATAAAAACACCCTCTAACATTACAACACCCCCACCATAATATGTCACAGTAAACATTGTACTCACTATTTAGCTTATGTCACAGTAAACATTGTACTCACTATTTAGCTTGTGTCACAGTAAACATTGTACTCACTATTTAGCTTATGTCACAGTAAACATTGTACTCACTATTTAGTTTATGTCACATTAAACATTGTACTCACTATTTAGCTTATGTCACAGTAAACATTGTACTCACTATTTAGCTTATGTCACAGTAAACATTGTACTCACTATTCAGCTTATGTCACATTAAACATTGTACTCACTATTTAGTTTATGTCACATTAAACATTGTACTCACTATTTAGCTTATGTCACAGTAAACATTGTACTCGCTATTTAGCTTATGTCACAGTAAACATTGTACTCACTATTTAGTTTATGTCACATTAAACATTGTACTCACTATTTAGCTTATGTCACAGTAAACATTGTACTCA